GGAGCGAACCAGGAGCCCAGCGAACAGCCGGCAGCCGGAAGGCGGCAGGGAAGCGGAGGGAGGCCACCGCTGGCTGCGGCGCACTGGCACGGTGGTTCGCACCGAAGAGCTCTGCGCAGCCTCCTGAGGTGTCTGGGCTGAGGCGGACCCTTGACTGGCACTTGGCGAAGGAAGAGAAAGCTGCCTGGAGCGTCCCCGCTGTCGGCTCTGTCCAGTCAGTAGTCTGGCGGAGAGAGCTGAAGGAAATGGTCTTAAACGGACAGCAGGGCTGTCGTGTTGATGCAAAGAACGTTTTTCTTGCTAGTGAGGATTGACGTATCCGGCTATGGAGGGAACACACGTGACCATAGAATATTACAGAAAATTTTCTTGGGATGAGCTCCCTAGCTCCCTCACTTAATTTAAATGTTTCAGTATCTGTTTTGTGCCAGGCGCTGTTAGGTACTAAGGAGACAATGGTGAGGAAAACACGTGCAGACTTTGCCTTCTTGGGGACCGTTGTGTGGGAGGCAGAGCATCACGTGAGCACACCAGGATGCCACGTCCAACGGCAGTTAATGAATGAACCGGGGAAAGGCAGGCACCTGAGCGGCCAGGTGGGGCTGGGGGCGTTTCCCCTGAGACGGGGGGGGGCCGCAGGGCTCAGGTCCGAAGGGTGGGTCGGGGAGTGTCAGCAGCGGTGAGCAGAGGGACGTGCGACCAGCAGGAGCAGGGGTTCTCTGGGGGCAGCAGGGTGCCCATGGGGGGCGCAGGAGGAGAGGGAAATCAGGGGAGGAGGAGGCTGGAGAGGCAGGGAAGCCGGACACCTCCCGGCCTTGCCTCCGATGCAGGATCTGAGCTTTCTGGAGCGCAGAGGGTAGTCGGAAGGGTTACCGCTGGGAGAGTCGGGGAGAGTCGCCTCTCAGACCACGGCCCCGGCGGCTGTGAAGACTGAGCAGGAAGGCTGGGTGGATGCGGGACGGCGGAGGCAGGAGTGAGTCCGGCGGAGGGGCGGGCGGCAGCTGAACTTCTCAGGAGACACTCCGAGGGGAGAACAGTGGGGCTCCGTGACGGCAGGGTAAGGAGGATGGGGGATCTTGCAGGGTCTATCTGGCGGGAGACCGGGGCCTGCTGGAGGACCACGTGGTTGTTGTTTGGTGGGGCGGCAGATTCCAGAGTCCCCTCACACCGAGAGTTTGAGCTGCTCGAAGACCCCCAGGCGGAACTCGCCCTGCGTCGTTGGCCGTCCGGACTTGGAGCTTTAAGGAGTCGGCACGAGGGAGAGGCATTTGAGGTGGTTGGCAGAGGGATGGCAGTTCACGCAGATGAGATTGCACAGGGCATGGTTCTCAGAGTGTGGTCCCTCTGCCAGCAGTGTCAGCCCCACCGGGCAACGTGTTGGGAATGCAGACTCTCAGGCCCGGCCCCAGCCCCAGCCCCAGCCCCAGGGAATTGGAAACTCGGGCCATGTCCGGCGGTTCTCGCTGCCCTGGGCGGTTGAGGAAGACCAGCCGGGAAGGTGGGAGGCAGTGTTGCTCTTGCAGACTGGAATCGCTCTGCTTCCCCGGGCACTTCTGATCTGGTGTCCGTCCTGGCCTCCGCTCCCACGTCCGGAAGGACCCAGCGCCGCCGGTTCCCGAGCCTCTGGAGAAGCGTCTGGTGTTCGTCGGGCGGATTCTGAGCTTTTTAGCGCTCCCCTTGGTTTTCAGTCTCTCGGCCTTCTTAGCGCCACTCCCCTGGTTTCCGGGCTTCAGAGTGTTGTCGCCGTGCTGTGCGCTCTTACTCTCCCCGGCCTTGTTGGAGTCCATTTTTAAAAGACTTTTTAAAATTATTTTTTAAGTGAGGTTCTGGTAGATACCTGGGCTCGCCTGCCACCTGTGCTCTCTCTCTCTCTTCCCCCCCAAAGTGTGTCCCAGGTGTTTGCGGCCCTGCACTCTCTCGGTCCCTCTCCCTTGGTGGCGTGGAGCTGGGGCCGCCGGCCAGCCGTCTCTCTCTCCCCTGCCCCGCCTGGGGCGGGTTTCGGGACCTGCTGGCTCCTGGACCGTCACGAGGACTACACGTGCTGACGCACCTGAACGACCCAGCAGGGCAGGTGTTCGAAAAAGGCGTCCCGCCTCCTTCCCCGGTCCTGAGACTGACTTGATGTGTTCGCTCTCCTTACTGCGCATTCCAGTTTGAGAGCGTGGGCCAGGCCGTCCCGCCGGCCCGACCGCCCGGCGCCCCGGTGCAGCCGGGTGCCACGGCAGCTCCCAGGCTGGCTCCCTCGGGCCGCCAGCGCTCTTTTCCGTCACCGGTGGACGTGTGGCTCTGCTCGGACCGGAGAGGGAGTGCGGCCTCCCCGCACTCTGCGGCCAGTCCGCAGGCTGGGCCTGGGGTTCCGACAACGGCGGTCTGGGAGCTAGTCTCGCTGAGTCTGGGCGTGGGGAGGTAGCTGGAGGAGACGGAGGACACCTGCTAGTCTTGGAGTGTTTGTTTTCTTTTTAAATGCAGAAGTTTTATTCCCTTTTCGTTACCGGAGGAGTAGTTTTTGATCTAGTGTCTGGGGAGCTAATTTAGAGAGTCAGGAACTCGGGATGATAAAAAATGATTTTCTTCATTTTCACTCGCCGTGTAGGATGACTCTCAGTTGTAAATGTGGGACGTGAACTGCAGCAGTGTTAGCAACACACCCGACTCTGTCCCAGCAGCACACAGCGTGACTCTGTCGTAGCCGCTTGTAATCCCGTCACAGTCGTTGCTTGCATCTTAAGGTTGATACTGTTTACGTTTCTTTCCTCTTTATGGTCCTTATCAGACCTACTCCTACGCCTTGCTATGTAGTACAGTAGTACAAAAGTACATACTGCTGTATTACAAACTTTTTAACATTCTCATAACTTTAAATTTAACTGAGTGGACCTTTTGCGGTTCCTTTGTATTTTATTTCGTGCATTTGAAACTTTTGCTGAGAAAAGGGTCCCGCAGACTGCTGAGGGGTCCCTGGCACTGACAAGACCTGACCTTGAACCCCCGCCCCACAGAAACAAGTGCCCACCGGGGACTGTGCGGTTGTTCGCACCCACTGGTGTCGTGTCTCAGGTCCCCAGGTCTTCTCTCTTTGGCGTGGGCCATTCACACTGGCTTCGTGATAGCTGTTTACTGTCTGTACAAGATGCGTGAAAAGGGGTTATTTTGTTTTTCACGGACCCCTGAGTCCCAACGGCTTTAAACAGAAGGACCCTGGAGACCGGGCAGCCATCTAGAGTGACCCTTCCTGTGTACCCGGGTTACCCCCAAACTGCAGGCCGAAGGGACACTTCCCTGAAGCCGCGGTGCGGGCTCAGCGTTCGCGTACGAGGCGACCGGGACGCTGAAACGCGATGAGGTTGAAGCTGCGTTTTAATTCATGGCTTGGCAGCCATGGGTTCGAGTTACCTGGGCTGGCTGTGATGTCACGCTCAGTTTTGTGTTGTTCTGTTGAAGCCCTCAGGGGACACTTTCTCCCCGCGGGACGCCGCCAGCCCCGCCCCCCTGCCGCCCCGGGACCGGCCGTCATCGCCGGCCCCTGACCGCGCCGTCCCTTGGGGTCAGCAGTGGGGGCTGGGCAGGGAGCCTGGGAGCTTCCAGGTCGAGTTTCTCGCCCTGGACACCTTGGAACGGTGTGGTGTTAAAGCTCCGGTGCCAGTTCTTGCTGAGCTGACCCGAACCTGATACTTCAGTGTTACGTTGCCCGGAGCCGCTCTGCTAAGCTGCTCTGAAAACTTAAATAAAGGATGAAGCCCTCGGCTGGCTTCGGGGGCAGCAGGGCCCCCCCCTTCGGAGAGAACCCCTCACCGTGCGCTGGAGGCTCTCGGGGCGGGAGGGGCCGCCCCGGGGGGGGCGCTGTCTGGAAGTGAGACCACCTTACCCTTGTGTTTCTGGGGGGCAGGGTTGGGGAAACGGCGTTTAGTTCGTGAAAACAGCTGCCAGGCTGCGTTGACCCGCACCCTCCCCCCCTCACCTTTTAGTTGGGTGTGGCACCCCTGTCCCACTTAGTGAAACAGTGCGGTGCTGTTGGTGACGATGAGCAATAGTAGTGGTGGTGGCCGTGGTGCCCATTAAGTGCTTCCTCTGCCGGGCCCGGTGTGAAGGGCTTGCCACTTCCTAAGTGCGAGCAATGCCAGCCCTGGGAGCGGCCGCTGCCCTCAGCATCGTCGTTCCACGGAGGACGACCCTGGGGCTCGGAGGTCACACGGAGGGGGACCCTGGGGCTCGGAGGTCACACTGGGGAGGGGGACGCTGGGGCTCGGAGGTCGCACAGAGGGGGACCCTGGGGCTCGGAGGTCACACTGGGGAGGGGGACCCTGGGGCTCGGAGGTCACATGGAGGACAACCCTGGGGCTCGGAGGTCACACGGAGGGGGGACCCTGGGGCTCGGAGGTCGCACTGGGGAGGGGGGACCCTGGGGCTCGGAGGTCACATGGAGGACAACCCTGGGGCTCGGAGGTCACACGGAGGGGGACCCTGGGGCTCGGAGGTCGCACTGGGGAGGGGGACCCTGGGGCTCGGAGGTCACATGGAGGACAACCCTGGGGCTCGGAGGTCACACGGAGGGGGACCCTGGGGCTCGGAGGTCGCACTGGGGAGGGGGACCCTGGGGCTCGGAGGTCGCACGGAGGGGGACCCTGGGGCTCGGAGGTCACACGGAGGGGGACCCTGGGGCTCGGAGGTCGCACGGAGGGGGACCCTGGGGCTCGGAGGTCACGTAACTTGGAGGTCCCGGGTGGGGCCCCAGCAGGTCGGACTCGGAACCGAGACGGTCTGGCCCCAGAGCCGGGACTCTCCCACGTGCGTCCTGACGAACTCTGCCCCCGGGTCACAGCCGTCTCGGGAGAGCTTCGGTGCCGCTAGCCAGCAGGTCCTCACGTGTCCCCGGTCTGCCGTGGCGGCGGCCGAGAGGCCACACGAGCGTGCGTGCGTGCAGCCGACTTGGGTGTCTGCGGATCTGAATGTGGGAACGCCCGAGTTTAACTGTGACCTTCTCTGTGTGTGTGTGTTTGCAGGGATGCTTCCTTCGGAAACTGCACTTACAACCTCACCATCCTCGACTGCCTGCAGGGGATCAGAAAGGTAATGAGTGGCAGGTGTCCCTGCTGCGGGCGACTCGGGAGGTCACAGACGGGGAAAGGCATGACGCCAGCGTCCCCCTTGCGTGCTGCTCGAGGGACTTGAGCACGACTGTCTCGGCCTTTAGAAAGTGGATTTAAACTCTGAAGCTATAAAATACCTTTCAAACACTTTTCTTCTAATTTAAAAACTACCAAGGCCCTCTAGCCCGTGCCCTGCAAACACCACCAACACACACTTCCTGTCGCGCCAGTTAAGAGGTTCTGTGGAGGTAGTCCCCAGTGCGTCATCCACAGTTACGGCATCTAAAATGTGCCTGGGGGAAGAGGTAATTCTAGTGGTGTCACCATCGTCGTCGTCATCTGCCCATCCCGCCGTCTGGCACAGCCTGCTTCTCGGGCGGCCCGTGTGAAATCTAGATCGTGCTCCCCCTGTGGTCGCGGCGACTGCCGACCTGACCTGGAAATTGGTGGCATCCGTCCCGCTGTAGGGGGACAGAGGCACCTGGTCTTCGGTGCATTTCTTGTTCCATCGGCCGTTGGGGCTGATTTCGCCCAAGCGCAGAGGAGGTTTCGGGGCCCCGGAGGTCGCCCAACCTGTCTCTAAGCAGCTGACGCACGTTTCCCTCGAACACCTCTTCTGTGGGGCGTGTGCCCGGTGATCTCTGTGCCAGGGGCTCCAAAGCTCCCGAGGACAGAGACGGGGTGTGGCCGCAGCGCTGCCTCTCCGGGAAGCACATGTTTCTGATCGCGCTGTTGCCCTGGTGGCGTCAGAAGTGTGGTCACAAGTGTGCGGGACCTACCCACAGAGACCTGCACAAGCACAGACTCTGAAAAGGTGGGGAAGCTAGCACTCAGGAGAACCCCCTGAGAGGGCGGGTTCAAGGTGCTGGTCTGCCACCCCTGCCCTCCCCACCAGCTGCCTCTGATGCAGTGGTTCAGGGGTGGGGCCCAGGCATCTGCATTCGACACGTAACCCACGGTAGGTGCTTCTGTTGCAGCTGGTCCGCGATGGGCATTGTGGAGAATGCTGGTCTCTGACGTGTTCTCACAGATCGCTGTGAAATGCCTTTTTCCCCCTAAATATCTCATTAATGACAAAAGGAAGATGAACCGTCCTAAGAATTTTTCATTTTCTTCTATCTGAAAAGTGAACCACTTCCCTATATTCTGTTATGGTCAGATATGAATTAATTGTACAGCCTCAGTAGGTTTTACCTAGAAATTTGCTAGTAGGTTGCATTTTGGGGGGCATATTTTTGTATTTTTCTAAGTGTTCAGTCCCACCTGCAGCACAGACTCAAGGCAGAGCTACCGATTCCCAGAAGCTGATTCCTAGAAACGCTTCACACCCAGAGGTCCCCGAGTTCTCGGCCGGTCGGGGGCACCACCGGTGGGCGGGCGGGTGAGGAGCAGCAGCGCCCGTGCCAGCTGAGTGCGCGAGAACTAACTCAGACTCTGCTTTCAGGGACTGCAACATGGGTTTTTCGACTTCGAGACGTTCGATGTGGACGAATACGAACACTACGAGGTTTGTGCATTTTAACTTTTTGTAAGATACAATTACACCCCCTCACCCCCCGCTGACACGCAGGGGTTGCCTATGGCGCAGCGGGTAGAAGAAACCGCTCTGGAGTTTCCTGTGTTTGTCCGTTTTTCCGCTTTGACCAGGAGCCTTCATTTGAGTTTCGGAAAATGTCCTATCTGTATATATCCTTCCATCAAATCTTGATTGACAATCACCTTCCACTTTTATAAGAGAAATAATGTTAAAGTGCAGTTTGGCAGTGGAATTGGAAGTTACTCTTGTTTTCAAAACCAGGTCTGTCGACAGCAGAGCTGGGCTTGTGCCTCGTGACACGTTTTGGCTGCACACGTCTCGTTGGAAACACGGCTGCGTTTGCCGAGCCGTCCGAGTGGGCGGACTGTGTTCCCACGACGCCGGCGCCCAGCTGTCACTGACGTCCTGCCCATGTGGCCGGGCCGGGCTCAGGCACAGGCGGTCCGAGCGAGGCCACCCGGGGAGCGGAGGTTGGGTGTTGAGGACCTTCGGGCCCTGCCCCTGCGGAAGGCTCGGGCTGAGGTCTCTCGGGCCGGTGCTCTGTGGTCAGGTGCCTCACGGTCGGCCCGCCGTGTTGGGAACTGATCAGCAACAGCACCTTCCCGAGTGCGGTCTCACCGTTCGTGTCCGCGCTGGTCCATCACATCCCACTCTGGCCGCCGGGCTGCGGGGTCCAGGAAAGTGTTTCCTGGGTGACGGTCCAGAAGAGTCTGCAAAGAATCTGTATCTAAACAGACACACCTTTCTAACAGGGTTTTTTTTTTAAGGGATTCGAGAAGAACTTGAGAACTAAGAGCAGCCATTCCCTTGAAATCTGATCATTGATGAGCTCACTTAAAAAATAAAAACGGACCTTTTGCTCCAGGGGAAACCGGGGAAGGTTTTGGTTGTCCACAAAAGAAACAAAACGACACAAAGCAAAACCAGCACAGGCGGGGCTTTCCGCTGGTCCCCTGGAGGCTCGCCTTCCGCAGCTGCCCCTGGGTTGGCTGTGCGCAGGTGAACGCTCAGCGGAACCTGGAGGCAGCCGTCCTGTCCTGTCTGGGACGGCGCCCTGCTCCCTGCTCCCTGCTCCCAGCGGGGGCGGGGCTGGGGGCGGGGGCGGGAGAGGAAGAGGCAGGCAGAGGAGCAGCTGCAGGGGCAGCACGTGGGGGGGGGTCGCCTGCCTGCGGTGGCTCCCAGGTGCGGACCGTCATCCGTGAAAGACGACGAATACGAGAGACAACGACCACTGACTGAGGACGATAGCCCATTTCGAGGAATTTATGTCATCTGTTAAAAGTAACTACTTTTCCATGGAAAGAGGCCAGGGCACAGTAATTAAGAACCCATTTTGATTTTGCGCTGGCACTCCAGGGAAACACTGACTGTGGCAGAGAACCTCTTGAAATGACGTTTCTTTCATTACCACCCAGTCATTGCCGTGAGGGTAAGGTTTGTTTTTTTCTTTCTTTCCTAAACCAGTTATTTGCATCACGGTTGCTAGATACCGTCCCCTCCACCCAGGGCTTGCCCGCAACGTCAGTTTGGTTTAATGTGCGGACCAGGGCCGTCTCCAGGCGGGCGGCGCCGCCCTTGCGTGCAGGCTGCACTGTCGACCGGACCAGGTGGGGTGCGCTCCGCAGGCTGCCCCTCCGCAGGGACCCTGAGACCGACAGGGCCTGTTAGGCCTCCTGTCTCCCCGTGCGCCGCCTGCGGTCAGCCTCAGGGGTCACTGCTGTTGAGCCCTCGGGCGCGATGCCTCAAGGCTCTGCTTTGGAGCAGGGTTTGCAGGGCAGACTGGAATGTAATCTGGAAGCTGCCCGGCCGGCCCTCTTGTTCGTGGATTGTGGAATCAGAAAAATGCGAATTCCTGCCCCAGGACGGGGCCAAGCACCTTCCAGAAGGCAGGTGTGCGGCCTTGCCGGGGCACCTGGAGGGACTGGGGAGGCGTCTCCCAGGCGACTTGACTCTTCAGGGAACTGTTAGAGGCACATCCGTGGAGCGACCCCGCTCCAAGGCCACACGGGGGAGGGAGCAGGGCCCTTCCCGGCCGCAGCTGGCGGTGTGGACAGACGGACCGCGCTCCCACAGCCGTTGGAGGAGCATGCCCCACGCGCTGCTGGGGCAGCGGTCGCGTCGGTTAAACCCACGACACGTTTCCCGAGCAGTGCCCCCCGGGGCTCTCTTCTCCTGAAGGGTGTGGTTGGGTCTCTGCCCCTGTGGACTGCTTAAGGATGGAGCCCGGTCTCCGTCCTCTGACGGTGGCGGGGCGGTCCCCTCGGCGCCTCTCCTGAAGCTGTTGTTGCTGGTACAAGAGCTCACAGCCAGCGGGCGTCTCTGGTCTCCCCGTCCTCGATGGGCACCGTGCGCACTCGCTGACTGTAGAAACTCTGCCCCACCGGCCAGCTCTTACGGGGCAGTCAGTCTTTCTCCTCCGCCTGGCCTCTCGCTCCCTCTGCCGGCCCGCACAGTGGCTGCTGGCTGGGGCCCCGGGATGGCGGGTCAAGTACTTGCTCCCGAGTGGGGGCCCTGCTTCCGAGTTCCAGCCTCTGGGGGTGCTAATGGCCACAGGTCTGCACGTCTTGAGCCCTGCAGCAGCCCCTGCAAATGCGCACGGGGTCCCCGCCCTTGAGGCTGCCGGCAGCCGCGGTACCTGGTCCCAGCAGGTGGAGCCCTCCCTCCCTGTCCCGGCCACCAGCACCTCCCTGTCCCCGGCCACCAGCACCTCCCTGTCCCCACTGCCGCCAGCAGAGGTGCGGCTGCCACCCCCTCCCCCGTCTGCCACCCTGTCTCTCTGCAAATCAAGCCGAACTTAATAATCTAGAGTGTATTGTTTAAATCCCAATATGCGGCGACTTCGTTTAAACCAAATAACTCAAATGTTTACTTTGCTTTAAACCCATCGAGTGCCAGTCCTTTGGCATATTTGCATTTATGTAACCCAGCTGCGCCGCGAACACTGTTTTATTGTTCCAGAAGTTGGGGGACTGTGGAGAAGGCACTCCCCCCTCTCAGAGTGTTTTATTTGATTTGCAGTGTTTTTTTGGAACGACAGTTGACATTCAGTGTTGCTTCGTCTTAGGGTCAGGTGCACGGCACAGTGGGTAGACCACGGTATATGTTACAAAGTGTGCGCCTGTAAAAAAGGGCACTTTTTAGTGAATAAAAAAGGACTTCGTAGTTCTTCCTGTCTTTCCGATTTTCAGCACGGTCTCGGTGCTGGAACACTGCTTACCCATGACGTTGCCCGAGAGAAGACACCTGTTCCTGAAGGAGCCCGCCCCGGGCCCGTCAGGGTCAAGGCCTCCCTCCTCTGCCTCACCGCCTGTTACAGCGGCGCAGAGGCCGTGCTTCTCAGGGTGCGGGCGGAACAGTGTGCTTGTGGCCGTGACAGCGGAGGCGTGCCTCACGGGCACAGACGCTGTTTTTAGAAGTCGTAAAAATTCAGGTTTTCAGGCCCAGTGATACTGCGAAAGAAACCAGGAGAGTTAGCTGTTCCAGGGCAACCTGGTGAGTCTTTTGTAGTCTGGAAATTCTATGGTAAGGTGAATTAGTAGCACCTGAATACATCAGTTTTAGGAATTCAAATTTTTAATTTTTTTTAATAGTAGGAACATCTGTGATTTTCCACATAGCACCGGTAGGCGGTAGGCTTTGGATGGGAAGACGTAACATCACCCTGTTGCCTCATCTTGCTGAGCTGTTTGTTTACAAGATGTGGTCGGCTCGGAAAGAGTTGTGCCTCCCGTTCCTGCCTGAGCTCGGTCTCTCTGAAGAGTGTGTGTGTCTGCCTAATCAGAGAAACCAGTCTGTGTTACTCGACATTGGTATAATTCACTGTGAAGAAGGCACAGATATTAACTTTGGAAGCTTATCAAAGTAAGCTTAAGTTACAGTAGTCAGTTAAAAGCTGTCCCTTTCTTATTACCGGCATTTTTTTTTTAGACTCGGATCTAAGACCTCCGTCTCTCTGTGTACTCCCTGCGCCTCCAGGCTGCCGAGCCCAGCTCCCGGTTACCTCCTCGGGTGGGCAGGTTTGCAGACACTGGTTCTGTGCGTGAGCGGGTCTCACTGAGCCCATTGTCTCTGTCCCGGCGATGGACTAGGAAAGGTTACTGTTTAACCAGAGGGCGCCCGCGGTCCAGACCAACGGAGGTAGCGCAGCACGCTGACCCGGACCCCGAGCGCCCACGGAGACGGGGAGAGCGAGCCTGGACAGCTGCTTCCTTCCGCACTCCGGCCAAGAGTTGGTGTCCGCCGCGGGAGCCTCAGAGTGTGTCTTCAGTTCCGAATTTTCCAATAGTGTTTTAAGCTTAATGCTTACTTGAGAGGGGTAGCAGACCGTTAACTGGGGACTGTTTTATTTCAGAAAGAAAATGAACATTTACCCCGAGGAGCTGCACATTAGATTCTCCATTCCAGCAGCTACAGATTGGTAGCTGTGCTCGAGCATTAACTTGGTGTGAGCACTCGCAGGGTCCCTAAGGTCTGCTTAGGGCGCTGTAGAGATAGACACTCCGTTACAATGAGATGAATGCAGTGCAGACACTTGTAAGGCAGGCGTGTAGCGTGTCTTTCCTAGCTGGAGGGGCACGTCTGCGTCGGAAACGGGAGAGCCGCACAGCCCGGGCCCGATTTTCAAGGGAATGGCCAGGGGCAGAGCACGGAGTTCCGTCGAGGTCCCCGATTTCCTGGAGGCCCCGAATCCAGTGTAACGTTTAACAAACAGAAGCTCCTACAAGCGGGGTGCGGGCGGTGTTTGGCCAGCACCCAGGTCTGCTCCGCCTGTCTCTTCTGTGGGGACGTGGGGACATGGGGACTCCAGCCTGGGACCGGCAGCGGGGCTGGGGCTGGGGCTGGGGCTGGGGCTGGGGCGGGCGCGGGCTCAGGATGCTCACGCGAAGAGGCAGGGATACAGACGCCTTTGGGTTCCTTGTGCAGACCTGTCCGATCACCTGCCCGATCTCCAGTGCCAGCCCCGCCCCAGGCGGTGTCCCCTGGTTCACGGGCACCCGGGAAGGCACGGAAGCGGGGGTGGGGTAGGGCCGTGGGGGGACGCTCGGCCCCCTCCCGGTCTCCCAGCCTCTGCTGAGGCTCCCTGCGCCAGCGTAGGTGGGAGGCTGACAGCTGCTGGTCCAGGCCGGCCCCCAGGTGTGTTTTATTTGGCCGCATGGTATCAGTATCGGAAGATGGCATTCAAAACGGCAAATTCCAAATATGGAGAGATTTCCTGTGAAAACCCAGTCGGAAGACGGGCCTCGCAGCTGAGGAACATCTGCCTTTACTTCCCTCTGCGGACCCTCGAACTGAGTGGTTTGCGGCCGTGGCCGGCGACCTTGGCCGGCGACCTTGGCCGACGACCTTGGCTGACTCTAGATCGTGGTTTAACCTTGGACGAGGGCCTATCCCTCACTCCCGCCTCTGTCCGTTTCCCAGTCTGTCAGAGCCGACAACAGACGTGTACTTGTAAAAACAGGGAAAAAAGCCCAAGAAAGTGTGTTCATCATAACCCTGATGTACAGAGAGTGTTTTTATGGTTTAATGTGTGCATCCTGTGTTCATGGAAAGTGCTTACATTCTGGTTTCTCTCGTTTTCCTTTACCACTGGGACAAGCAGTGTTTGCTTGCATTTCTTCCCAGTGCAGAGTGGCCAGGAGGCAAACTTGTTTCAAGCGAAGTACCTCCACTTGAATAAGGTTGTTAACAATTTTGTACAGTCTAGGTAAAAACTTCACTGAAGTGGGTCGAATTCATAAAGACCACTTTGAGAACCGATGCAGGTTGTAATTTCAGCCGAGTTAGTTACTCCGTCTCCCTGCGAGCCCCGCTGGTCTGGGACCCGCGGGATGAACGCAGCTTTCTCCGTGAGGGGGTCCGAAATGGCGTAAGAATCACGAAATCTTTCTCTTCTCTTTCCGCACGTCGCTCCGCCAGCGAGTTGAGAACGGCGACTTCAACTGGATCGTCCCCGGGAAATTTCTAGCGTTCAGTGGACCGCACCCAAAGAGCAAGATTGAAAATGGTAGGTTTCCCTTTCTTTTACCCCCCAAGTTTACTGCAGTTCATTTGTGATTTCTGACTTCCCTCAGAAAATCCAAAGAATATTTATAACTTGAAAATCGGAATGGTAGCAATCGGTGTGTTCGGTATTCTACTTGAGTGAGTGGAGGTGAGATCACCGTGTTAAAACTGGCCAAGTTTTAGGCTGTCGTGCACAGGACTCGCCCTCCACCTGGCCCAGGTGTCAGAGGAGAATCTGAGAAGCTAGTCAGACCCACGAGAAAACGCCCGAGTTCCCTCGGCGGTTCTGGTTTGTTGGGGGCGGTGGAGTGCCGTGCATCCTAGTGTTCTTTGGGGAGCGCCACGTTGAATAACGAGGAGGGTGGCAAGAGGAGTCCTCTATTGAGCACCTACTGTGTGTTCGATGCCAGCTCACGGAAGCATGCTCTCACTCAGCGCGCGCACACCTCCAGGAGGAGTGGGCACTGTTATCTTCATTTCGTGCGGGAGGAGGTTGCGGCTTATGGGTGGGAGTTTGCCCGAGGTCACGAAGTAATAGAACCTGCTCCATCCCAGAGCTGGGCCACCGAGCGCTGACCTGCGTGGCCCACCCTGACGAGGGGCCGTCTGGTCGCTGGCAGCCGCCCTCTGAGTTACTTATTTGCCGTCCGTGGGTGGCTGGGGCATCGCTCTCTTCAGGGAAGAAAGCCAAACAAAAAATAAGCTGCTCGAAGGAAACACGATCAGCTAGTGGTTTTCCCGTTCATATGCAGCTTCTGCTTTCTTTTTCCATCTGCTCACGTGCCCTAGAAGACAAGAAGTGAGCGTCTGCAGAGGCTGAGGGACAATTTAGGGGACAAGTGCATCAAGTTGAAAAAGTCACCCCTGAACATGATGGCCCCTTTCCTTCGCTCTCCGTCCGCCACAGACCTGGGCCACCCGTCCTGTGAGGGGACGTGATTTGGAACCTGGTCTAGGTTTATTCTTATTTTATCATTATCACTACGAGTATTTATTCTAAAATCTAGTTTCGTCGTGTGGTGTTATTCACGCATTTAGATTTGACCATTTCTTGGAGTTTCCACCCACGGGCCCATCATTTCACACCTGTGACATCACGCACCGGGAAAACCCTGCCTGGAACAGTTTCCCTCCGGGGACCGGGGACCGGAGGGTCAGCCCACGGACCTCCAGGAGGCCAGAACCACGTCCTCCGCAGGGACTCGCTCCTGAGCCTCCTCGGCCCCAGACGCTGATGCGCGGACCCCTGTCCTGCAGGGGGCGGGGGCGGGGGTAGGAATGACAGGCTGAGCCTGAGCACACGGCTCTCGGGCAGGCGGTCTCTGGAGGCAGGGCTGAGGGGGCCCGCCCTTGGCCTTGCGTGTGGCAGGGCCTGACTCCCCCCAGCACACCCGCGCGGGCCTCCATGGTTTCGCGCTCCCCGGCGAGGTGGAAGGGAATTTGCCACTTAGGATTCGCATGTTTTATGAAATTAGAGAGGAGACGAGGAATAATTAAAAACAATCACTTAAAAAAATTTTATAGAGGTACTCATTTTTTAAAAAGAAGCAAGTGCAGGAGAACCAATAAAGAGCATAGGAACGACTACTAATTCTACCCAGGTGTTTCTAGGGTTACTGGTTAGTGGTGGGTTTATTTGGGGACTTTAATTGTCCTTACATGTGCTTCTCTTTATTTTTTACCTGTACATTTTTTCTCTCTCAATGAATACACACAGACACACTAATAAAAATATTCCTTTTTTATAAGCGTGGCATCATGATTTAATTACTGTCTTTTAGCATCTTTTTTTTTCACGTAACATACACAGACTTCTTCCCATGGGCAGTAAATGTGCACCTTCATTATAAGTTTCCATGGCTGCCTTCTCTGTTATCCAGCGACTATCAGTCAATCAATCAGTCAATCAATCACTTTTGGATGAGGACTGACTTTTTAAAAGCTTGTGGTAGGCAGTACATGTTCATGCATCTTTTTTGAAGCTCTAGTTTCTTCTCTAAAATCTTGGAAGTAGACTCACTGGGTAAAAGGATACAAACATTTCGTGTGATAATTCTTAATTGTCAAAGATCTTTCAAAAATTCTTGTTGGTCCCGAATTGCGATGCAGGGGTATGATGACAGCCACCGTCTGCTTACCTGCCCGGGACGGTGCCCAGCCTCTTGTGCACCGCCTCCTCAGCAGTCGGAACCTCCCTCCGGAGCAGGCGGGGCCTCCTTTAGGGGGAGCAGCCCAAGGCTCCGAGGGCCGGCCAGACTGGGGGTTCCCACGGCCGGAGCACGGCCGCATGAGGATTCAAACACCGGTCCCCCTGAGTCCAAATTCCGTGTCGTGTTAAATTTTACTGCAGAGGAAGAACATGTCCACGACAGGAAGTGTAAGCAGTGCAGTTAAAAAGTCACCTGTAACTGTGTGAAGTACTGCTGTACACACACCCTTTCCCCGTGCATGTACTGTGCCCCCTCACAGCGGGAGGGCGGGACGGCCTGAGGGTGCTGCTCACGGGGTGCTGGCCGTGTTCTCGCCCGGGGCGATCGCGCTGAGGCTGCCGTTGTAAAAGGCCGCCCGTTACTGGGGTGCCCATCCGAAGATCTGATACTCACTGGAAGCCTCATCATGCTTTTTGTAAAGGGCTTTACCTTTGTACATCCTTTTTGAACTAAAACTAATGTCGTGATGGAATTAATAAACTTGATCCAGTTTTGTTTTTTTTTGCATTGAGAAACCCTGGTTTCCCGAGGAGGCCGAAAGTCACGTTGGGGGTTTGACAGTGGAAAAGGTAGATCGTCAAGGAGTTCACACTGGGAGAGCTGCTGCTAGGCCTCGGCCGAGGCGGCCCCACCCCCTGGCAGCCAGGCCGGGTGCGCTGCGAGAGGCTCACGTGTGTGCCGTAGCGACAGACGGCCGCTTCCGACTGCGGGCAAGGGGCGAGCCCTGCCGAGTTTGGTTACACATAGTTTGGATTTCAAATTTTCTAAAACAAACAAACAAACAAATAAACCCCGCAGAACTCTCAGGTGGCAGTGTTCTTTTTATCTTTATTTAAAAAGAAAAGAGGAAGAGAGGAAGGAAGGAAGGAAGGAAGGAAGGGGAAAGGAAAGGAAAGGAAAGGGGAAAGGGAAGGAAAAATAAGAAAAGAAAAGGAAAAAGAAGCGAGAAGGAAGAGAGAGAGAAGACAGTGCAGGGAAAGGCAGCTGGAGACGGGAACCCCGACCCTCTGAGGTCGGCCTGCTCTCCCCGGGGGAGGCGTCGGGCGGGCAGAGCCTGCGTGGTGGAAGCTGGCCTCCCCCGCCCCCAGCCCGTGAGCTGGCCTGAGCTCTGCACCCCGCCTCTGAGCCCCGGCTTCCTCCCGTGTGGAAGGGCGGAGCAGAGTGCACCAGGCGGGCTCTAGTGTGGGCTGGGGGGGGGGTGTGCAAAGTGCCTCGCACGCTGTCTGGGCCAGCGGCGGTGCTCACTCGGCGACAGGTGTTCTGACGACAGTTCTACCACCCAGTGAGCCTGATGCTCGCTTGCTCCATTTGCAGGGGGGTTAGTCCCCTGACTGCGCTGTTCTTCAGATTCCGGACCTCAAACGAGGGGCTGGGATGGGATGGATTTTAAAAAATACTTTATTGATTATGCTATTACAATTGTCCCATTTCCCCCCTTCACTCCCCTCCGCCCTGCACACCCTCTCCCACCCACATTCCCCCCACCTTTAGTTCATGTCCATGTGTCATATACATATAAATCCTTTGGCTTCTGCATTTCCCATACTGTTCTTACCCTCCCCCCGTCTATTTTCTACCTACCGTCTATGCTACTTATTCTCTGTACCTTTTCCCCTTCTCTCCTCCTCCCACTCCCCCCCCATAACCCTCCATGTGATCTCCATTTCTGTTCCTGTTCTAGTTGTTTGCTTAGTTTTAGGTGTTGTTGTTAATAATTGTGAGTTTGCTATCATTTTACTATACATGGTTTTTTATCTTCTTTTTCTTAGATAAGTCCCTTTAACATTTTATAAAATAAGGGCTTGGTGATGATGAACTCCTTTAACTTGACCTTATCTGGGAAGTACTCTATCTGCCCTTCCATTCTAAATGATAGCTTTGCTGGATAAAGTAATCTTGGATGTAGGTCCTTGCCTCTCATGACTGGGAATTCTTCTTTCCAGCCCCTTCTTGCCTGCAGGGTCTCTTCTGAGAAATCAGCTGACAGTCTGATGGGAACTCCTTTGTAGGTTACTGACTCCTTATCTCTTGCTGCTTCTAGAATTCTCTCCTTCATTTTTACCTTGGCTAATGTAATTATATGTGCCTTGGTGTGTTCCTCCTTGGGTCCAACTTCTTTGGGACTCTCTGGGCTTCCTGGACATCTGTTTCCTTTGCCAGATTGGGGAAGTTCTTTATTATATGTTCAAATAGCTTTTCCACTTGTTGCTCTTCCTCGATGAGATGGATTTCTAAATGGCCCTCAGCTGTGGGATTCTGTTTCCAGGCCTGGTTAGCGCGGGACCCTGCCTGTGCTTTTTACTGAGGTCAGGGCACCACCTAGTGGCCGGACAGAGAAGGGCTGGGTGTTCGCCCGTCAGCTCGCACCTGGAGGTAAGAGCAGTGCCCACAGCACCCAGTGCAGGAACAACCCCCACAAACAACTGTTCCAAAGTCATAGGAGATTGGCGTTGTTTTTGGCCACAACTCATCTGAAGCACCTTTGGGGATCTTGAAGAATCCCGCTCACCAACTGTATTCGTGTGATGTCCCCAGTTTTTTTTTTTGGAGACCTAGCAGTTAGCCCCCAGGTGGCTGTTCCCTGAAATCGGCCCCGGCACAGGCCCTGGGCTCTGACCCCAGGGTCCAGGGCGTCCCGCCCCCCCCCCCCCCACCAGCAGTGTGCACACCTGGGCCAGCTCCCTCCCCAGCCATCTGCACCCCGGAGAATGCCAGGTTGAGAGTCTGGCACGTAGTAAGTGCTCAGTAAACACTCAGTAGGATTGTTATCATCATTGCTGTCATCTCGGTGTCCTGTTGCCATGTTTGGTAACTGTCCAGCGCTCAGTTATTGTGAAAAGAACAACAGTTTGGCCCACAAACCAACTAGGAGTGCAGACAGGGTTTTCCCAAGTCGAACAGCACTCGCTGTCCCCGCCTGGGTGTGCGGGAGTCTCCGTTTCTGACGTGGAGGGTGGTCAGCGCGCTCTGCTGCCGTCGTGCCTGAAGTGGGGACCGTGTGTCTGGGCTGCGGACCAGCCAGCCCTGCCTTCCAGTTCCGCCGCCTTCATGCCGTGGCCTCGCTCAGGTGCCCCCTCCTCGGGCTCTCGGGGCCGGCAGAACCAGCTCTGGCGGGTGGAGCCCGAGAGGCACTGATTGGAGTTGGGCTGGGGAGTCGCCGCCTCCAGGGGCAGCTGGAGAGGGAGGCTCAGACGAGGGGCAGCACCCCAGGGAGGCAGCGGGCCCGTGGGGTCTGGGCAGGGACAGAACCATCCCGCTGTGACTGAGGGCAGTCAGCGGGGGCAGCTGTTCCCGAGACGGCCGAAGAGCCAAAGGGCAGCACTGAAGGAACCAGAATGTTCTGGAGGAAAGGTCTCAGGCCAGGGGACAGGAGAGGGGAGTGGGTCACCAGGACGCGGGAGCTTGGAGAAGGAGCCGGGCTGGTGCCAGGAGCCCGGGAGGGCCCGCCAAAGGGCCGGGGCCTGCATTTGGGGGCCGAGGGGTGGAGGCCGAGAGGCTGGGCTGCAGGCTGGTGCCGGGGGAGGCCCAGCTGCCCTCAGCGTCTGGAGCCACACAGGCCGGACCACTGTGCTCATCCCCTCCCCGGCTCTGGCCTGCAGTCACCCTGTGGTGCCGCCACCGCCCAGTTGGAGAACCGACAGGAAGTGCCGGCTCAGAGCAGGCTGGGAGAGGGTGGGCTTGCTGCTGAGACGAAGACGAAGTGGCCACTTGTGCAGGGCTGGAGGCGGCAGGAAATGTCCCCAGTCACTGTGCAGAGACTGTGGGTCCCCTTGGCCAGCCGTGCATGGAGCCCAGCACCACAGACTGGCTCCGAGCGAGGGTGTCTCGCCTGGTGCACCTGCCAAGAGCCAGTGGGCCCTGGTGGGTCTCAGCTGCACTAGGCGGCGTGCTGGGAGCTCAGGCCCCTCACCCCTGGGGCTGCCGGGCGCGGCCTGCAAAGCCCCCAAGGGTCCCCTCGGTCGAGTGCTGGCCGAGTGCCGGCTGACTGTAGCTCCCAGGAACACACACTCGAGGCCAGGTACACTCACGATAGAAGGGGGTTAGAGGCTGAACGCCTGGCCTCCCCCAGAGAAAATGTCTGCAAAAGAATCACTCGGCCTCTTGGAGTTTCTGAATCTGCCAGGTGGACCGAACTGTCCTGGACAGTCCGGTGTGGGGATTAAAGGAGAAGCTGGAGTGGAATCGTGGCTGGCACAGCGCAGGCGCTTGGTGCTCGGTCTCTTTGGCGGGGGCTGCGCTGCCGACTGAGGCTGTCCGGCCGGCAGAGGGGCTCTGACTGCCGTGGGGGAGCCTTTGTCCCTGAAGTGCACCGATAGAGGGGCGGCGGGCCCCCACTGCCAGCCGTGCACACGCGTGTGCTTAGGACTTGGCGGGAGGCGCTCCCGGGACTGGCACCGGCTGGTGGGAGGAGCGCTCTGCCATGCCCAGGGGAGGGTTCCCCGGCCATGGGGGTTTCCCCGCCTCCTCGGACCGCAGCTGGGAGGGAGGATGGGAGGGAGGGAGGATGGGAGGGAGGGAGGATGGGAGGGAGGATGGGAGGGAGGGAGGGAGGGAGGGAGGGGGGGGCCTGCGTCCTGAGCTGCGCTGTCCCCCGGGGCGCTGCCGTGCGTCGTCATAAACGTCACCGCAGGTGCGGGTGTCCCCAGGCTCCCGGCTGTGCTGACCGCAGGTCCTTCTCCCCCAGGTTACCCTCTGCACGCCCCCGAGGCCTACTTCCCCTACTTCAAGAAGCACAATGTGACCGCCATCGTGCGGCTGAACAAAAAGATCTACGAGGCCAAGCGCTTCACGGACGCTGGCTTCGAGCACTACGACCTCTTCTTCGTGGACGGCAGCACGCCCAGCGACCACATCGTGCGGCGCTTCCTGAACATCTGCGAGAACACGGAGGGGGCCATTGCCGTCCACTGCAAAGGTGCGTGCCCGCCCGCGGGTGCCCGCCCGCCACGGCCGGCGGGGCCAGCTGGTGTCTTAGAGGGGGAAAAAAAGGTCTTTTTTGGTTTCAGGAAAGTGGGGCACAGACCTATTGAAATAATCCCGTCCTAGAAAGGGGTCTCCTGGATGTGGCCTTTCTGGGGTCAGGCTCGCTGGCGCCGGGCCCTGTGCGAGAGGGGGCAGCGTCGGCAGGCCGCCCGTGGGCACTTTGAAGTAGTCACGCTGGCCGAGGGGCGTGGGGTCGCTGCTTCCCCATTCTCTCTTCCTTCCGGGGTTGGCTGTCTCCGTCCCGCCCTCCTGCACCCACCTGAGTCTTGGTCTCCGTCCCGCCCTCCTGCACCCACCCGAGGGTTGAGGCTCTCGTTTCCCGCCCTGCCTGGCGGCTCTCTGGGCCCATCCCCACCCGTCCTGCCCCCGGCCCCCCCCCCCAGGCTGCTGCATCCTGGAGCGCCTGCCTCGCCTGTTCCCCGGGGCCAGCAGCATCTCGGGGCCACCGGCCAGTGTGCGTGTGTCTTTGAATGACCCGCGAGCCTTGGTTTTGTAGGGGAGTCTCTGCCCTCAAGGAAGGGGTGGGCACTGGAGAAGGCGTGAGGGTGTCGGAGTTGCGGGTGGCAATGCGGTGTCACCCCAGGAATCCGTTCCCGGTGCGGCTCAGCCGGGGCACAGGGCAGGCCGTGTTTCTCGGCAGCCCGAGTGAGCAGACATCTGCTCTGAGCCTCAGCTGCGGAGGAGGCTCGGACGCCGTCGTGAGCCCCCCGCCCCCCAGGTGCGCAGGGGGTCATTTTACTACCGGGGTCTTTGATCTCACCGAGAAGAGGAAGATTTCCCTTCGGCCTCCCTGGCCTGAGCTCCCCGCACACACGCACGCAGCTCTTCAGAGTGCCTCTGGGTGGCGCCGTTCGCGTGTTGGTGGAGTTTTGTGCTGCTCGCCCTCGCAGGCGCTGGGGACCGGCCTGGTCCCTGCACGCGCCAGGGGCCGCTGTGACTGACTCACTCGGACGAGCTCGGCTGGGGTTCCGACGGTCATTAAAGTGCCGTGTTGTGGCCCCTGTCTCTCTGTTTAGGATTTGAGGAGGCGGAGGAGGAGGTGCTTTGCCGAGCACGTGAGGCTGAGGGAGAGCTGCGTCTGCCTGCAGAGCCCTGGGGAGGGGGAAAGGAGCCGTGCGTGGCCCGGGTTCCGAGGGGCTCCTGGGGTGGGGCCCCCCACCCTGACGCAGCCCCCCTCCCCGTGTCTGAGCAGGGTGGGGCCCTGGCTCGGGACCCCCCACCTCCCAGGAAGGTGTCTTCTGCTCGCTCACTGCAGGTCGCTGCCCCCAGTTCTGAGTGGGTCCCTGCGGGGTGCCGGAGGGCGGGCCTGCCCCGGGGGCGGTCCGTTCGCACCCCGACTTTGCCTTTCTGTCTCACCTCGTGAAGGGTGGCCCCGGCCCAAGAAAAGGCCTGCCTTTCGCGTATTTCAAATGTCAGTGGAATTGGAGAGCTAATGGGAACACAGCCGCTGCCAGCACACGAGGAGATACTCACATGCTCTCTTTCAAAGTTTATTTTTGGGTCACGAAAGTCAGTATTTTTCCTGGGATCAGTTTGGCCCGGTTTCTGAGTCAGTTCGTTTTGTGGTGCCCACGTCGTATGTTTTATCTGTGTGTCATGTCTCGGGCTGACAGGTTCAGGGGAGAAGAAATGCGAAGCTTTTGTTGAAGCTCAGCACCTCTCTCCACAGCCTCCTTCACTAACCGACGTGTGAACGCAGAGTTTCTGGTGCTAAACGTCCTCGTCACAGACCTGCCTCTCCTTTACACCCCGGGTCGGCGAATGTTGACATTTATTTTAGAGTGTAGAGGGGTTTTTTTTTAAATATCTGTGTTTAAAACCAGAGCCTTTTTTGTTTGTGCTTTTTAGCATTAAAACAATTTATGGCAGGGTTGGCACATTGCAGTCTCGATGTGGCTGCTTCATAGATGTGGGACTTCTGTGCAGGTGGTTCTGAGCGTGGTCGTTCCATGATTTAGTTGTGACTTGGACGTGGTCAGAGGAGGCGGCGGCAAGCACAGCCTGGACTTACTCCGCCATCTTGACCGGAAGGCCCAAGCTCCGACCCTTCGGCACGGAGGCCGGTTCTCGCACGGGAAGGTCCCATTTACCTGTGGGGACGTCTTTTTGAGACCACTCATTTGCTTGCCCTCGTGCACACACACAGGATTCTTTTATAAGGAGCATACCTTCGGTTTAGTTACAGCTGTATTACTTTTAATAGCGTGGTTGTCTGCTGTAGGCCCCTTAATTTTTTTGACACTTGCCCTAATTAAGTCAGCTTAATTTTCCGGGAATTCAAACGGCCTTGAGCATTTTAATCGCCCTACAAGGGGGAGGCAGAGAGAGTCTTATTCCATGTCAAGTGCACTTTGGTGGCCGTCGGGAAGGGAGTGGGTGTGTCCTGTCTCGACTCGCAGTGCTATCGCAGAGAGTCAGACGAGAAACGGGTCTGCTGGGAGTGGGTGAGGGTTTGTGACAGTGCCGTGTCTCCAGCCCACCTTCTGGTGAATAAAACAATGGTTATGGATTCTTGAAGAAGTTTCCTAGCACAAATAACCATTTAAAAAATGGCAACACCGTGATGTTCTGGTGTGCGGTTGTTGACATTCGACAGGGATTTCAGAGAGCGCCTGGAATGGTAAGGCAGCCGGCCTTGACCTTGAACAGAAAATGTCCCCACCTCTTGTCTTGCTGTGTCAGGGAGACCTTGGATGATGAATGTTCTAACAAACTTGTTCAGGTTTTTATGAAAACTTTGAGGAACATTCCTGTTCTGCTTAATTGTGTCAGGAGTGCAAAGTACGTTCTTTTTATAGATTAAATTATAGACTTTGAAAAGGGGAAGCAACTTGAGTTTCAGGGAAATTTGAACATTGCTGCACCGCCTTTTCTTTTCATTGTGAGTGTGCATGGTGAGGGGCCTGGGAGGGACCCCGGCGGCCACCCCCCACGGGGATGGGGGGCAGGGGAGCCACTGCCGCCCCCACAGAGGCCACGTGAGGGCTCTGGACACCGACCGACCTCGGGCCCGGTGCCAGGATGCCCGGCTGTGTCCGGCCACCACGGTCACCTGTGGTCTAGGCAGACTCCCTGGCAGTGGACCCCCTGCAGGAACAAAGACAGACTTCTCGTAGCCCGTATATCCAAAGGGGAGGCCCGCTGAGGCCGAAATCACACCTGACTCTTTTCTGAGCACGCTGGTGTTGGATCGGAGGCACGGGTTCTTCCTGGGGAAACAGGCCGCCTGCCCCCAAACCCCTCCCCCTGATAAACCGGGGGAGCGGTACGTGTGACCGGGAAGGGCTCATGGGAGGGGTGTGTTGGCGGTGGTCTGCATCTCCGGCCCGTCCCCTCTCTTGCAGCTGGCCTCGGGAGGACGGGCACCCTGATAGCCTGCTACGTCATGAAGCACTACCGGTTCACGCACGCCGAGATCATCTCCTGGATCCGAATCTGCCGCCCGGGCTCCATCATCGGGCCCCAGCAGCACTTCTTGGAAGAGTGAGTCTGTCACCACCCCCGCCCCCGCTCCCCCCATCCGGTCACATCCGGGTTCCCGGTCACCCCCGCCTCAGTTTCCCCGGGCCGCGTCAGCCTGTGGCGATGTGAGCACAGCCAGCACCTCCCGAGGAGTCCTCTCACGAGACAGCTCAGGCGTTCTCACCCCTCCCTGTCTCTCCCTCCGCTCGGGGACAGCCCCCTCTGCCGACCTCGGCCTTGCTGTTCCCCCTGGGCACCGTGCGGTTCTGTGACGTTGTCCTGCCTGGCCCTTCTCAGTGTTTGTTTGCCTGTCTAGGAGCACAATGGGGAACAAAAGCAGGCCCAGCTGAGGTCCATCGGTGACTTTGGGGGGGTTGCCGCGCTCTTGGCTGCTACCTCGGCCGCTCTGTGGCTGCCCCTGAGGGGTGCCCAGGAGGGAGAGGAGGGCTGGGTCGGCCCGGCCTGGCCCTGCCCGCTCTCAGGGGAATGCTTAGGAATCGCGCCTGCCTCCCTCTGCTCAGGTGCCAGCTGTTCGCCACACCCTGGTGCACAGAGGGGCAGGCACAGCCTGTACGGGCACCGCCCTACCTGATTTCCCCGTAGAAAACCTTGGGAGTGACCCTCAGCTTATGGGTAAAACAGGGAGATAGAATCAGCGCCAGCTGGTTTAGGTCCAGCTCTGAGACGCTGTCAGTGAGCCATCTCCTGTAATTTCACTTTTTTTCTCTCTTCATGCTGGAGTGGCTTTATTTTGGATAGCACGCTTTTCCATAGAATTCATTCCTTTCCCTTTAAATCGTTTTATGTCCGTGAGAAACACACACCCATCGGTTTCACGGAAAGATGCTGCAAGGGAGCGGTTCGCACCGGAAACGGTGCCGGGGCCCCGAGCCCGCCGGGGAGCCCCTGTGGTTGCCAGCCCCCGAGGGATAACCGGTCGGAACACCGCGCGGAAGCACGTGCACCGACACCGCAGCCTGGGGAGCGAGGCAGGGCTGTGCCGAACACACGCGCGAGCAGCACCCGAGAACAGGAGCCTTGGGAAGACTGGGGTTCCTAGGCTTTTGGCCTCTGAGGTGCAAATAAAATAATTGCATTGTTTAAGGGTGTTACCCCGGATCGGCTTCTCTGCCCGCAGTTCCCACTGTTTTGCACGTGTGCCCTGGCCCGTGAGCCCTGCGCTGCGTGTCTGCGGGGGGCTCGTGCTCCGTGCTCCTGCAGGAGTGGAATGAGGGGCCTCGGGATGAGGAGACAAACCGTTCGTGCGCTTGGCTCTCCAGGCGTCTGTTAGAACGGTTGTTCGGAAGAGTGTTCATTCGTTAGGTCCCCACCGAGGACTCGCGGGCACTCGGTGCTCTGCTGAGAGCGCCGCCGGTCAAGTCCTCCCAGCTGTTCTCGGGGCCTCTGGCACCGCAGCCCTCCCCCCTTCACGATCCTCCTCCGCGCCCCCTGCCGCGTCTCCTCTCTCTGCCGAGAAAGCAGGTCAGGAAGCACAGGCGCCCTGAGCTGCAAAGGAAGGTGTTGCTCGTGCGTGGACACGTACGCAGAAACACCTGGGGTATTTCCCCCAGGTGTGAATCAGAACTGTAGCCCCGAGTGTGTGTCTGTGAACGCTGGGGTGCAGGGACGTCTCCGCGTGGGAGTCAGTGATGACCGCCCCTCGGGCGGGCCTTGCGTGGGCGGGCCGCGTGTCGGGGGCAGGACCTCGCGGGTGGCGGGGTGCGCCTTGGAGCCCGCGGGACCCTGCCGGCATCGCCTCCCGGCCCTCCCCGGCCTTCCCTCCCTCCTGTGCGAGCGAGGAAGAGTCCGCACCGGGTTCTGGGCAGAGGAGTGTTGGGATCTGACTATAAGATACACACACACACACTCTTTTCAAAGTAAGGATTTTGAGGTGATGGCAGGTTTCCAGGTGGTTGTGAGAGACCGTGGAGAAGGCTCCTCTGAGCCTTTCACCTCCTTCCCTGGAGGCAGGCACCCAGCAGGACTCAGTGGAACGGCGAGGCCAGGACGCTGGCACGAGACGCGGACGTCTCCCTCGCCCCAGGGAGCCCCCGCAGTGCCTCCTGCCCTTTCACGGCCACGCTCCCTTCCTGCCTTCGTGCCCCCTCGGCTCCCGGGGCGGCTGGTCTGCTTTCCGTCAGAGGTTTGGACGTTTCAGGAGTGCTATGCACTCATGTATAAATGGAGTCAGAGAGTCTGGAACCTCTGGGACCGGTTCCTGTCGTTGGTCCACCTGCCTGTTGGCTCTGCACCTGTGGGCGGAACCGTCCGCTGTGGCAGGGGCTGCTAAAGAGTGTTCTAGAACAGGCACGCTGGTCTGCACTCCCGTCGGCAGCGTGGGCGAGATCCAGTTCTGCACGGACTCACAAGTGTCTGACAGCATCGGTCTCTTAAAGTCAAGCCTTTCTGTTTGGTTTGGAGTGCAGATCCGCGTTGGGGCCGATACGGGGCCTCCGGCTCCAGAGCTGTGCAGAAGCCACGTGTCCTGCCCAGCCGCCCAGGGTGTGGGGCCTTGTCATGGCAGCTCTGGGTGGACAGGAGACCGGTCCGTCTGGGCAGACATTGTTCCTCTGGGTCTCGGGTCAGCAGATTCGTCCGGTCGGAGCCACAGATCCTCGTGGGGACGTGGGTGTCTGCGCGTCTCTCGCTCGTCGGACCTCTGCCACGGAGTACTGGACGCGGGGGCACCTGCGACCCCCGTGGGATTGGGGCAGAGAGGGCTGCAGCCGTCAGTCACTCGTTTTCGGGGGCAGAGACCGGAGCTGGAGAGGCTGCAAGAGAGAGCCCTGGACTGTCCCCTGAAGGCGGTGGGGGCTTGTCTGAGGGCTGGACAGGCCGAGCAGTTCAGGTGGACGCCGAGGAGCGGCCTCAGGCTGTGGACACTGGCCGATGACAGATGGGGAGCCACGTCAGCAGTGATGCGGGGACGCGACTAGGTCCCCCGGCTTGATGCGTGGTGTGATGGGCTTTCATCCGTCAGACCCGACCGCGCGGGAGAGGGGCTGCTCCAGGCGGACACTCCGCGCTCCTCAGGGACTGAATCCGCACCCGTGACTCCGGGAGGGCGGTGTGTCACGTCCCGCTGGTCCCCGGGCGCCAGGACACGCCCAAGCGTCTGGCGTCCACGTCTCGAAGAAACCCTCCCCTTAGCCTCTCCGGCAGTCGGAGATCCCGGCGAGCTGATGCATTTGTGTCACTGACAAAACACCTCCTCTCCTTGTGCCTGTCTGAAATTGCGTACTGAAGTTTTTTCTGGGCTTGGAAAGAAAGCTGTTTGCAAAACAAACATCAAGTGTTTTTTAAAAATTCTACTTAAAGCTGATGTTCGTAAGCTTAAAAACGTAACAGCCCCAATACATCTTCTACGAAACGCACTCCACGCTCTCACAGCGATGCCCTGACCGCTCTTTGCTTTTGGATCCCCCAGGCAGCCCGGCCCGGGGCCAGGCCGCAGGGACGGCTTGTTTGGTTCCGTTCACCGGCGCTCACCACTGGCGCTCCGCCACCCTCCCTCCGGAGCACGGCCCGTTTATGGTTTTCACTCCTCAGAAAGGGAGCCTTGGGGGTCTGGCGGTGGGGCCCAAGGGCCCTTCACTTCACAGGGGTGGTTTACCTACGGGGGCCCAGGTCAAGCTCTCGTCTTTACTTTTGAGTCTCCTCCTGAGAAGCCTCACTGAACCCCCATCTGGCCCTGCACGGAGCTGTGTCTCTGCAGGGCAGAGCCTCCGGGCTGGACGAAGTCACCTTGAAGGAAGTGACGATGTTGTGGTTAAACTCTTTTTGATCTCTAAATCCGGGAACTGAAACGTCCCCGTTCTGCTGATTTTTGTCGGCCTGCAGTCGGTCTCCTTTCGTGGTCCGTCTGCAGGAGTGCTTCTCAGAGCCGGGCCGCCGGAGCGGACGCCGGCTCTGATGTGGGAGGTCAGCGCGGGTGGGGACCCGAGACTCGTCTCGCGAGCAGCACCCTGGCCACGCTGGTCGCCGCCACCCGCCTCGTCCCACGTGGGCGGTGGCTCGGTCTCTCTCTGCAGGTGGCAGCACGTCCGGTTTGGTGCTTCGAGCAGTTGGTAAATCTCGCCATTGAGCTGAGTGACACCAGAAATGAACCGTTCAGCCAGTGTTTTTTATTTCAGGGAGTCACCAACAATAAGATGGAGAAAACATGTTCAAGAAGCGGTGGAAAAAGGCTTGAAAGTGCCTCACAGTAACAGCTTGAGTTTTTCGCTGTAACTGATTGCTGCTGTTTCCTTACTTTTTTTTTTTTTTGATACATGCATTAGGTCAAGGAAAGGGCATTAAATTTTTTAAGATAATCTGTTTGAAAGCTTTAAGACATTGCTATTCCTAAAATAGAAACAAATTGAAGTCTAAAATATTAGAAATGGAAGAATTTAAAATAACGCCGAACAATCTTGTGGTTTGTTAGAATAACGAGCGCACTGCGTAGGCTGGAGTTTGAGCGATACTGGACGGTTACCTTTTGGCAGTGGCACTCAGTCATTAAAAAATTAGGAATTGCTTTTCAGTACTTCCTGCTGCATTCTTGGATTCACTCGAGGGTCAGGGGGCATTGACTCTCTCGGCTAAGCAAGACTAACACAAGGTGTGTAGAAGAATTTTTGGCAACGGCGGCATCAGAACTTCATCTTAGAATACTGTGGAAGACGGAGTGGTTTCGTGTGTGAGGAGGGCCGGAGGGTAATAATGTACTGGGTTGAGTTGTGAAGTGTGCGTTTTGTCACGATTCCAGGGATCTCTGGGGTTCAGGTTGAGGCGTTCTCTACCTAAATGGGGTTCAGCGAGTTGCCGCTTCTGGGAATCTCCCAAATCGTTTCTTTCCCTTCCGGCTGCCTCTTCCTGTGTGCTTCAGTGTCAGGAGCTTCCCCGACACCCTCCTAGGTCCTCTCTCAGCCTCTTCCTACCACATCTTCCATCTGTACAAAGGATGAGTAGTTCTGCTCCAACACCTGTCTCCCCGCTCCACCCCAAGACTTGCGTCCTGCGTTCTGGTCCGTCTTCCTGGGAAAAACCAAGTCGCATTATATCATCAGTTCTCCAGCCCAGTGGCTGCCGCCACTTCCACAGCAGGCCTCGGGGGCTGGGCCAGGAGAGGCCCGGGCTGATCGGGTCTCCAGTCACAGCAGAGGTCGAGGTCAAGTTAAAAGTGGGTTGGGTTTCTCCACAAAAATGACCAAATGGTGGTGGCTTTGGATGGACTGCTGGGACAGGGCTGGCTCATACGGGAAGCATGTGTGACCCGGAGGGGAGGAGGGGAGGAGGGCAGGGAGTTGGGGTGCTGTGGAGGTGGGGTGGGGTTGGGCTCCGGGAGTGGGGGGCGGAGGTCTCCTGCGAACACAAGGGGGGCACAGGGGCCGCCCCTGCTCTGCATTCAAACTGGGAGCGCCTGTCACAAGGCCACCGACTGGACTTTCTTCAGGGGAATTCCTGAAGCAGATTTTGAAAAACACTCTCGAAGGCTCAACATGAGACATAACTGTGACCTGGCCCTTAGGGAGGCCAAGTGCGTCATTTGGTCCCAGGCCTGGCCAGCCCGGGGCTGGGACTTGGCCAGAATCAGTGGCCCCAGCACCAGCGCTGAGCTCTGCAGGGCTCCCTTGGCATGGCGGCGGGCGTCTCCCTGTCGTTTCCGCGGGTGGAGGGGCGCACCCCTGGACAACGTGCCGCATCCCGGGGGGCTGACTCCGAGTGCTGCGGTCTCGTCAGGGCACTGATTTCCAAATGTGCAAGGCCCGAAAGTACCCAAAGCACCCGGCGTGCTGCTGCTCGAGAGGAGGCTCTCGAGGCGCAGTGGGCACCGCGGTGAAGCAGGGTTGCAGCCAGCGGGAGGGTCCGCGTGAGGAGCTGCCGTTTCCTCGGCGCGGCTGTGCCGCGTCGCTTAGCAACGGGACCCAGCTTCGCCCCTGCTCGTCGTTCCTGTTCAGGGTCAGGTCAGGTCTCTCCAGCGGTGCGACGGGAGGCGGCTTTTAAACTGAGCGCGTGGCGTGGAAGGTGTCACGGTATAATTTCCATCGTTGGGTCGGCTGCGCTGTCAGGGTCCTCACTTTATAGCATTTACAGTGGGATTTTTTTTTCCACTTTAAGCCTCAAACTTCTGTTTCCACATCATGGTCCCCTCCCACCTCCCCAAAGAGGGACCCTTAGATGGTCTTCCCTTCCATTTTTTTCAATTTCTTTTTTTAAATTTAAATTTCCTTTCTATTACCATTTATCCCCCGTGTACCCTCTTCCACCTCCACCCCACCCCACCCCACCCCACCCCCATGCTGTTGTCGTGTCCAGTTCTTCCTCTTTCTTCTTTTTGGCCCAATCCCCCCAGCCCCCCAGCCCCCCAGCCCCCCAGCCCCCCAGCCGTCAGCCTGCTCTCCATCTGTGGATCTGTTTCTGTTTTGCGTGTGAGTTCATTTTGTTCATCAGACTCCACGTGTGAGTGAGATCATCTGGTGCTCGTCTTTCTCTGACGGGCTTACTTCACTCAGCATAACACCCTCCAGGTGCGTCCGTGCCATTGTGAAGGGTAAAATCTTCTTTTTTATGGCCAACCAGTAAAGCAGTGTGGAGTTACCTAAAAAAAAAAACATGACCCAGCCGATTTCACTTGTGGGAATTTATTGTAAGAAACCCAAAACACTCATTCGAAAGGACTCATGCACCCGTGTGTTCACCGCGGCGCTATTTGCAGCGGCCAGGATTTGGGAGCGGCCCGTGGGTAGAGGAGTGGACGGAACAGCTACGGCACATCTGCCTTCCGTTCTGAGATCACATCCGAGCTCCTCGGCGCGGGGTGCGCGGGCCAGAGCCAGCGGCCTTCTCTCCCAGACATGCTGAGCTCTCCCATCTCCCTTTTTCCTCACCCGCCTCCGTCTGCAAAGCACCAGCGCTCTGGTCCCACTGTGTCTGTGAGCTCGTGCTGTCTTCCTGGCGTCGCGAGCGCCCCGTGCTGGCCCGGCCCGCTCCTCGCTGCAGGCGCAGCTGGGTCCCCGACCCTTTCTGACTCCTTCCTGTTGGGTTCGCAGCCCCCCTCGGGTCCTCAGCAGATCTCGGTCGTGGGTCTTCAGTGCTGGACTTCAGATGTTTGTTTTTGGTCTCATGCTGAACGGGGAACTTCTCGAGGGACAGGAATTCCTGTCTTACCGGAACAGCCCTGTCTTTTCTCTGCGTGTCACTCATCCGACGCTTCCCCTGTCTCTGACAGGACTGAGTTTTCTCCCCCTGTGGAATTGTAGTTCTTTATTGTATTCCCCGGAGTTTTGACCTGAGGCCCAAGGCATTCCTTTATAAATTGAACCGTTAGTGTTTGAACTGTTCCTGCCTCGTCCAGGACTCTGCTACGAATGTAAGAGTCAAGCATCAGAGAAAGGGTTATGCCAGGCACAGCATTAAGTGGAAATAACCCAGAGGGAGAAACAGTTAAAGCAAGATTTTTTTTTGAGGGTGCAGAGTCTCAGGGAGGCTACTCCATGGTTTCATGAAGATTTCCGGAACGGAAGGGAAAGCTGAGAGTTTGTTTGGAACACATGTCTTGACAGTGAATAGAAAGGTTGAGTGTGACGGAGTCGTGAGGCTGGCCTCATCCCGTTGCACGTCCCAAGCTCAGCAGTCGTCCTCGGTGGTTGGCTTCCCAAAAGCGAAATAACCTGCCACCGTGGACGAGAGACACCGCCGCACTCCCGTTCTGCCGCACACCCAGACTGTCTCACCGACTGTAAAGTCACCCGGGAAGACAAAGGGGCTCAGGGGCCTTATTGCCGTGCAGCGTGTTCTAGGCATCGGAGAACCCTTAATAGTCACCCCACGTGGGGCTGTCCAGGCCTGTGCTGGAAGACGGGGGTTCGTGTTTTTTTATAGAATGTTAGCTTATTGTGGCACCAGAAGGGGACTTTTCTTTTTCTTCTAAGGCTTCAAAACCTCCCCGTTCTGACGTGTAAATAAATGTGTCCCCGCAAGCCTTCTTGTTTAGGAGACCTCGCACTTGTGAGATGGCTGTAGCCCATCTGACGGCCGTTCCGTTTTCTCTCCCCCTTTGCAGGAAACAGGCGTCGTTGTGGGTCCAAGGAGACATTTTCCGGTCCAAACTGAAAAACAGACCGTCCAGCGAAGGAAGCATCAACAAAATTCTTTCTAGCTTGGATGACATGTCTATCGGTGGAAACTTTTCCAAAATACAGAACGCGGAGAGATTCGGAGAGGTGAGTTTGCCCCAGAGAGATGTGCGCGCCCCCCCCCTTTAGGACTCGCGCTCTGCGTGGGAACACGCATAACGTAGCCGCACCCCACCTCCGAGCTGTGGGGAGCACCAGAATTTGGGGCGTGGAGTCTTCCGCCGCTAAAGCAAGCATCAGCGAGAGGATAATTCTGCAATTATCCTTAAAAAGCAGAAAGCTGTAATTTAAGGAGCCCAATTATACAGGAGGCCATCTGGTTTGGCGAATATTTACAAAACAAAGGAAATTAAAGCAGCAGGCTTTCTGAAAATGGAAATAGCTGTCACGAAGAAATATTTTCACGTGACAGTGGGAGGAACAGTTCGTGCCACTAGCGGTTCTGGAAGCCTCAGCTCCGTAGTGACCGCTCGAGCAAGGCCCCCAGGCGCCCCCCCCTGAAGACAGCTGGGGGCAGTGCTTAAAAACACTGAGACTCTGTGATAAGCAAACCCCTCGCAGCTGTTGGCAAGGTCTGATTCAGTCTTGATCAGCAGCCGGTGATTCAGGCAAGGGCGTCTCTGCTTCATGGGCGAGAAAGAGCAGGGCAGAGTCCTCGCCTCAGTGGTGGAGGCGTGACCTACGCCACGTGTGTTTTTTCCAAGCCACGTTTTTTCTAACTACCGCCTGCTAGCTCCGAAAGAGAACGAAAGCGATCGACTCAGAATCAGGGACCTTTTCGGAGCCAGAAGCCACCCTGAAATTGTCTGTTCTGGTCCCCTCGTGTGTGGCTCGGGAAGCGGGGTCCCACGAGATCTGCAGCTTCCCGAGGCCCCAGAGGGGTCCGGCAGTCGGGCCCCTGGAGACCCGGGAGTCTGACTCCTGGTTTGAGTTGTGCTGTCAGAACACGCCTGATGCGAGGCTAAGCCCCTGGTTTGTGTAGGTTTTTTCATGTCTAATACGGCCTTGTCCTCCACGGCCCCTACTGTCCCCCCGTGCCAGGGGGCGTGCTCTGTGGAGCTGAGGACTCCAGGAGTCTGATCTGAGCCCACTGGGCCTGTGTTGTTGGCCTTGCTCGAATGAGTAAGGCTTCCAGTCTCGTAGAAATCAGACAAGCAGACGTGACATTGTTAATGACCGAAGCTATCCAAATAGCACCAGCGAGAAGTGCGCATTTTGACATCCAGGGGCTAAAGGTTTGTCTTGGGGTTAATAAAAAAGTGGAAGACAGAATTAAAACACTTTACTTGAGGTACAGATATTTAAGGAGTTAAACAAAAAGCTTGGAGTGTAGCAAAAACCACCTGGAGAGCACCCCCCTACTCTGTGCCTGCCAGGCACCGTTCTGGCACTTGGCGTGAGTTACTCGTTCGGTCCTTACAGCAGCTGTGTGGACTGGGCTGTCCCCCAGAACAGGGAAGTGAGGGCGAGACGGGGAAGCCGCCGGCGGGGCAGCCGTCTGGACCCAGGTGCTCGGCTGCAGGGCCAAACTCGGCCGCCACCTGGGAGCCCCCTGCCGTCACCTGCCCGGTGGCAGCTCACAGAGACCCGGCGTGGGGAGGTCGCCCCGTGGGGGTGTGGGGGAGCAGACAGAGGTCTGCCCAGTGACGGTGAGGGGGCGCAGCAGACGGACCTGGGGGCTCTCTGGAACCCACACTTGTCACCACTCCGGAGCGGCTCACCATGGAGAGGACAGCTTTGCCTTTCCGCAGCGAGGGCGCCTGACCGACCCCACATCCCGGGGCTGGAGGGGCCGAGAGATGACCCGTCCACCCTTCCGAGCCACATCATCGGAACCTGCTAAAAACTGCATTTCCATCTTTTCCTTCCAGTCCTTTCACTTCTATTTTTGCGCCTCTCCATTTCAGACTCCCCTTCCCCGTCCGGTTTCCATGATAGAGCGTCCCTGTTCATAGTCGAGCCCAGCCCAGCCCAGTGCGCTGCATTTTATCTCGTCCTCCTCGTCGGGGCGCAAGCCCCTCCCTCCCCGGGCTCGGCTCACCCTCTCACTCAGCCACCTGAGTTCTCGGCCCCGTTGAGGGGTTGCACGTGGGCTGCACGTGGGTTTCACGCTGCGTGTAGAGGCAGAGCGACTGGAGGAGTGAGACGCACCTGCGCACGCCGTCCAGTTGCTTGTTCTCTAGGGACCATCACCTGCACCTGAGTCTCACGGTGCCGGGACGCTGAGCTGGGGGCCGGGGTGGCAGGCCCCCCGCTGTGGCCTCGGCCTGCGCTACTCCGCTTCCTTCCGGAAGACCCCGCTGGGGCCCCGCCTCTCCTAGGGAGCTCTCACTGTCGCCCTGCTTCTGTCCCCCCGACGGGGACCTTGACCAGTGTGGCTCGTTGCCGAATAGTTGAGCATCCGTCTTTAGAAACTTTAACTAGAGTTGACCTACAATGCTGTATTAATTTCAGGTGTGCAACGTAGCGATTAGACATTCGTGTGATTACGAAGTGACCACCCACCTGTACATACACAGTCATCGCGGTGCTATTGACTGTGCCCTGACCGTGTTCCCTGCGCTGCACTGTACGTCCCTGTTAGTCGAGCATTCTTTAGTGTGTGTGTGTGAGTGATGCCGAACTCACAGTGCATCGAAGTGACTTGAGGTCATGTATATAAAGCGTATAGAGAGGATCTATAATCTTGTGAGAAGTCTGGGTGAAACCGAATCATCCATAACGACCCTTCTGTGGAACGTGCTCTTTTCCAGAATTCTTTGGAAGACGACGAGGACGCGGAGATGAAAAACAGCATAACCCAGGGAGACAAACTACGTGCCTTAAAGAGCCAGAGGCAGCCCCGCTCCTTGCCCTCCTGCGCGTTCAGGTGGGTCCGTGTCACGCCTGCACGCGTGTGGCGTGGCTGCGCCTGGGGACAGGACTCCTCGCTCTCTGTCCGGGCGTCGTTGCCCAAGTGCTGCTTCGCCTCTCGTGTTCTGGTTTATCACTGTTCTGTGTCACGTGGTTCTTGTTTTACCGCGGTGGGGAGGAGCCAGACTTCAGAAGCTTCTGGAAGCTAGCTTGTGCACGGCAGGCTCACAGGCGCCACCTTGAACTGAGAAGTGGCGAGCGTCTGTGGGGCTCTGTTCCAAACTCCTGTGGAATTCCACACCCCCCTCTGTGAGGGGGCTTCCTGTAGCAAGTCCGCACAGGCTTCTGTTTGCACCTTGATGGTGCAGAAAGGTGGTGCCGTGCGCCACGCTTGGGGAAGCCGAGCTCCCTAGCCTTCCCTTCTGTGTGAGAGCCCAATAAGCCGTTCCCACCTGTGCCTGGGGAGTTATAAACCGTCTTGATGTCACCGAGACTGCTCCTGAGGATCAGTTGATGGGACTTCCCTTCTTGAGAGCTGCCGACAGTTGAGGTTGGGTTGAAACAAGGCGTCAGGGTCGGTGCAGGTGCAGAACTCTGAACACCATCGATACTCCTTATGGGAATGGGGGGCGGCACGTTCACAAAGGGATGTGACGGGAAATGACCGCCTTTCTCCGACCCTGAAGCGAGAGACACGCACCGCAGGAGGGACGTTGGTCAGTGTGACGAATGTCCAGCACACTCCTAGGCCGTCAGTTCTCACGTGCTCTCTGGGGGACTCACACCGCGGTCAGACTGGGGCTGGTCACACCGTTGCCTCTGCTCCGAGGGCTGCTGCCCGGAGCTGGGCCGGAAAGGCTCGTGCAGCTCGGACTGAGCGGTCGGTCTCTGCAGCGAGATGAGAAGGAGTCTCCGCAAGCCGGTGCCCTGTAACCACCAGCAGCCCCCGGGGCAAGGCTGGGAGGGAGCCGTCCACGGAGCAGCCGGGCTGGGCCCGGGGCCGCGGCAGGTGCTCAGCTCGGACGGAAGGCCTCGCTGAGCTGACCTGAGAGGCAGGTTAGCCACACCTGGCTCGGATGCTGGGGTGAGGGAGGGTCGGTCGCTCCCCAGCTTGGGTGGACTCGCGTGGGGCTGGTGCTCAAACCCTGAACTGCTCTGGGGTGGTGCTCTCTCCGTTATGTAGGGGCTCAGGACCACGGATCTCGTTTATTAACCATTCCCCCCCTCAGACTCTAAGAAAGGGCTCGCTATTGGTTAAAGTCCACTTCAAACCTCTGTTTTATTCTTAAGAAACTGTAAGGACGAGGAGGGGAGAAGTTGGGATATAACTTTGCAAGTGAATTGGGAAAACAGAGAGAAAGCTCCCCCTACACAGGTTTTAGGAGGCTCACTCTGGTACGATTTTTTTGTATTTTTTCTTTTCATCCCCAGAAATCTTCTCAGAGTTTTAGAGTTTAGTTTTTTTCTTTTTAAGATTTTATTTATTTATTTTGAGAGAGGGAAGGGAGGGAGAAAGAGAGAAACATCAATGTGCGGTTGCTGGGAGTCATGGCCCGCAACCCAGGCATGTGCCCTGACTGGGAATCGAACCTGCGACACTTTGGTTCGCAGCCAGAATTTAGTTGTTTTTTTTAGCGATATCATAGTACCATCGCCAGACGACTTTACCCTGAGCGGCTGCAGCGCCGCCCGCCGAGGTGAAGAGCGGGTGGCAGTGCGTGGCAGTCCGGACGACACAGAAGGACGGCCGTGGGTGTCCTGCTGGTCCCAGGGCCCGAGTTATAAATGCACACGGAGACGGACAGCCGCCCGCGAGGCCCTCCCTTCCACCTGGTTAACATGTTCTCCGCTCCGGCTCCGTCTGCGTGTGCCGCCCACCCGCTGCGTGAGCCCAGTGACGCCTGAGCATCTCTCTCTGGTTTTCGCAGGTTGGAGGATGTCAAAGGGCACCCGAGGGCCATGTCCCAGCCGTTCAGGTACTGTGACCGCCCACGGCGCTGCACCCTCGAATCTCGGTCCTTTCCGTCCAGCGCGGGGCGCTTGCCAGGCTCCCCGGGAAGAGGCGCTTCCTTCCCCGAGCTGCGCGCAGGGCTGTGTGGCTGTGGCGGGGACCCCCAGCTCCCGCACGTGTGGGGTCCCTGACGGACGGCATTTGCTGGCACGGCCCCTTTCAGTCTCGTGGTGGAGTTTGTCTTGAATTTGTCACACTTCCGGTTTTCCTCCTTCCTCTGTTTGCACGTGTGTGCCGCCCTCCTTTGTTTCCTCGTCGTCTTTTCCTGCTCCGCCCTCCATTCGGAGCGGAGATGCTACTGTTTTTCTCTGGGAAGTGTCCCCGCACACCCCCTGGTCGTCCGAGGCCCCCAGGGGGCAGGGTCCAGGGCAGGAGGCACGTGTGACCGAAGCCGCGGACGAGAGAAGCTGGTTCACGCCTCACCTGTCACTGAGCCCCAGGTTTAGAGGTGCTTCGGGGGAGTTCTGGGAGGGCCCCGACTTCTGCAGAAGGTGGGGCCCCTTCTTTGTACAACATTCCCGGGGTTCTCGGCTCAGAGGCCGACCGGCTCGTAGCTGCTGGAGCGGGTGGGGGTGGGGGTGGGGTGGGGAAGGAGGGTCCGAGAGAAAATAAGCTTTGCTACCACGCCTGGGCCGGGGCCGTCGGATGTGAGTCGATTTCCCGCTTCTTGTTTCCTCCGCAAACGTTCACCACACACCTGACCCGAGTCTGGCCACTGGGAGTTGGAAGGAGAGAGCTCTCTGCTCCCAAGGAGCCTTATGCCGAGGGAAGCAGACAAATAGCAGACAGTGGAATGAGACATAAAAGCCACGATTCACTGTGGACAGGCAGGATGGGACAGGGTGCTCCCCCGCCACCGGGAGTTCGGTGCAGACATGCTTGGAGGGGCACCAGCAGGCTGCACCGTGAAGGGAGCAGCGGTAGGTCTGCGTCAGGTGGGGGAGGAGGGGAGGAGACCGAGGGGGGTGGGGTGCCCGGCAGCACAGACTGGACGCAGGCGAGAGTGCAGGCAGGCAGGCAGGGTGCACAGCCGTCTGTCCGGGGGGCAGGCGTGGGCGCGTGGACCTGCCCGGTGTGGTGACGCCAGACGCAGGAGGGCGTGGTGAGCCAGGCAAGGACGCTAGGCGGTCTGGGCCCAGAGGGAAGAGGGATCAGTTTAAGCAGCCGAGTGACTCCGTCAGGTGTTGTGGATTTCGCTGGAGGCCATTCAGAATCAGCGCTTCAGGGGATAAGATGAAAGGTGCGACCAGCACAACGATGCCCCCACCTGGGGCAGTTGCTGGGTGGAAAGGAGAGGGCAGGGGAAGAGAATACAAGGACACGAGGGGCAGGAGCGCCAGCGGCAAGGAAGGGGCGTGGCCAAGGACGGCAGCATTGTTGTGAGGGGCGGGGCTTGGGGGCCCGGGCTGGTCCCAGCTCTGCCGCTTGCTCCGAGTGACTTTGAATGAGGAACTCCTCCGCTGTGCCTCAGTTTACCCCCCACATGGCTGGGCTGAGCCCAGTGAAGACCCTTCAGGCCCTTAGACGCCGTGTGGCAGAGCCCCTGTCCCAGTGTGGCCGCTGTGGTCGCCGTGACTGGGACCCACTGGGCCCTCTTCAGGGCTTCCCAGTGTGTCTCGTCCTAGGCGCCCGCTGAGTGTCCAGGTGACACGGCGTCCGCGTGACACTGTGCCCGTGTTTCTCCCCAAAGGCTGCCTTCCTCCCTGCACGGGTCTGCGTCCACTCTGAAGCCCTCAAAAGTGGCTTCGTCCCCTTCGGCGACGGCCAAGCGGATCAACAGAGGCTCCCTGTCCTCGGGCGCCAATATAAGGAGGTGACTCTTCTCCCCTCTTCAGGGTCCTGGCGGGAGGGGCGGGGGGCCAGCCGCAATGAGTTTGGCTGGAGGTGGTCAGAGGAGGGGCCGGGGGGAGGGGAGAGACCGCAGAAGGCTCTGTGACCTCCGGGCTTCTGTCCCTGTCTTGAGTGCCAGGGACAAGGCCGTGGAGGGCCTCTGATGGGCATGTCCAGTCCACGGCCCGGGCCCAGGGTGGCTCTGAATGCGGCCCCACACAAAGTCGTAAATTTACCTCAAACCTTTTATTTGCTCATCAGTTTTCGTTCCTGTTTCTGTATTTAATGGGTGGCCCAGAGACGCCACAATGTTGGACACCCCACAGTGTCCTTCTGCAGGTTGCCCAACTCGAAGAAGAGTTGAGTTTGTACGTCGTACCAAGGGTCGTAACAAGGGCACCCCTGGGCGTTGGGCGGAGCCCCGGTGGGTGGGGACGATTTGTGCGGTCACGTGATCAAATGCGTCTGAGTCAGGTCTCTTGCTCTTCACTCCCTGCATGTGCACGTCCTTGCTGCCTGCCTCAGGGCCAACGGCACCTCCATAGTCCGGTTCAAGATCTCGGTCTCAGGGTTCAGGCAGCCTCTTGGGTCTCAGTGAACTGCCTTGGGCAGAGGAAGGTAACAGGTCTAACTCAAGGCCACATGTTACTCCGTCACCCAGAGCGGTGCTGGAGCCCCTCAGCCCCCGGTTGCCTGGTCAGAACTGTGCTCATCACCCCCAGGGTCATGTGTGTGTGTGTGTGTGTGTGTGTGTGTGTACACGTACACGTGCCCTGGTGTCATCGCTGTCTGTGTCTCCCCCCGCCCCCGCCCCCGTGTTTCCCATCCAGCTTCTCCATAAACTCCCGACTGGCCAGCTCCCTCGGGAACTTGAACGCTGCCGCGGACGACCCGGACAACAGGAAGATTTCGCCCTCCAAGGCGGCCCTCCTGGCCACCCCCTTCACCAACCTCCTCAACGGCAGCTCCCAGGTGCCTGACCCGAATTACCCCGAGCTCAACAACAACCACCAGTACGGCCGGGGCAGCCCGCCGGGCCCCCAGGGCACCAAGACCGAGGAGCAGGCCGCCGTCACCGCCGCGGCCGCTGCCATCCTCCGGCCCGCCTACCCCGCCGGCCTGTCCTCCTCCTCGGCCCGGTTCCTGAGCCGCTCCATCCCCGTAAGTTCGCAGATGCCAGCCCAGGGCCCTCCGGGCCCCGATCGCAACTTCTGCGCCTCGCGGCCCTCGCCCAGGCTGCCGCCCAAGAAGTTCAGCGGCAGCAAGGAGGCCTTCTGACCCCTCCGTGCTGTGGCACCATCTGGGCACGTCCCTTCCGCCGGCTCCTCGCCAAGTAAACGCCCAGTTTCCACCGGGGCTCTTCCTTCCTCCTGTCTCTCCCCCCCCCCCCCACTGCTCGTCAGGTGACTTCTGTCCCCTCTGTCCGGGGCGCGTGCGTGGCCCCGAGGGTTCTCGCTGGGTTTGCCGTCCCTCTGCCCACCCGCCGCAGGGGTGGTGAGTGCGGAGGGCGGGACAGCGGCTTCTCAGATCCAGTTGTTAGGCCGGGAGCCTGTCGCCTCCGCAGGGGCTGACCCAGAACTCTTCGGGCCCAGGAAGGCTCACGGGGGGTGGGGGGGGGCTGTAGGGGCAGGGAAGGCACAGAGTCGGGACGACGGTCCGAGTGGGAGGCGGGGTGCAAGCTCCCCCAGCACCCCCGGCCCACGGGCTCTGCGTGCAGGCCGCCAGCCCCTGCGTCAGGCCCCGCGAGGCCTGTCGGGCCGGTCTGCCCGTCCTCCCCTGCTGTCAGTCACTCTCAGCAAAGGGAGTCCAGGTCTCTGGGGACCTGAGTTCTGATTCGTGAGGACAAGGACAGGAAAGGAAGGAGATGGAGCTCGCACAGATCGGGGGGCCGTGGACCCGTGGGAGGGGCCCCCCGGTTCCCCACGGGGCTCGGCACGGCTCCAGGGTCACCCTGGTGCCCTCTGCTCTGCTCCTCCAGATTGTCCAGGGGGAGGCCGGTGTTTGCAGGCAGGGAGGGGCCTTGCTGGGGGCTGCGTGCCGGGCCCCGCCCCCCGCCCTCAGTGAAGCGGTGACCGCAGGGGTGACCGTGAGTGGGACCTTTCCTCAGATGGCAGATGAGGAGCTGCTTCTCTACAGGACGATGCCGTGTGAATGTGTGTGCATGTGTGTGCCCATGCATGTGAGTGTGTGTGCACACGTTTGTCGGCAGAACTCAAGCACACGCCCATCTGTCTCCGGCCTCTTTCAAGCCCCTCCCCCGGCCAGGCCCACACGCAGCCCTTTTCTGGCTCATACAGTTTCCCCGTCCGGTTCTGCTCCTAAGGATGTTTGTCAACACTGTTTCGGATTCCTGTGTGGATTAGGGACCCAGGCAGTCGCCAGCCCGCCCCACCCCTCCGTCCGACTGGAGTCCCACGCCCTTACGGCTGCGCAGGCGTCAGTAGGACCTGGCCCCTGGTAACCTTGGCTAAGACGGGAGACGATGGTGTTTGTATGTCTTCACAACTCGGTCCGCAGCAGAAACCGCGCCCCGCCGACGTTTCCATGCGCTGAGTGAGGGCTTCTCTCTCTTAGCCCCAGCGCAGGCCGTCCCCCTTCCGGGGGGGGGGGGGGGGCACACAGAGAGACTGAGCTGCGTGATTCCACTGTGGGGCGGGGTCTGGGCTGCCGGCACGGAGGGCGGGGCGGTGGGGCCCGGCGGCTGGACCAGGGCACGGCCTGCCTTTTCCTCCGGACCTCCGCCGCCCTCCCTGCTGGTGGGGCTCTCGCCGCCCCCCTCCCCGCCCCGTGTTTGCATGACGTCATTTTGGTCTCCGTCCGTGTTTTCTCATTTCTCTCCTCCCCCTCCCGCTTTCTGGCCTGGGTAATTTTCCAGTAATTCAGTTTAAAGTCATCGTCTGTGTGGGCGGCGGCTGCTGGTTCTCTCCTCTTCCCCTCGAACTTGTCGGCTGATTGCGAAGGGAAAGCATTTCTAAAGAGCGGGGGGCCGCACGGTGGCGTCTCTCTTTCCCTGACCCTCCCTCCTCTGTCTTCGCCTCAAAACAAGCAAACAAACAGGAAAAGCAAACAAACAAACAGACACAACAACCCCTCTGCCTTTTAGCGGAGGGAGGCCTCCGCGCCCCGCCGCTGCTGGCGCCCTGGCCGCACGTCCAGGCGGGGGCGGAACCCCCGTCCGCTGCGGCGTAAAGCAGAGGCGGCGAGGCTCCTGCCCTGCTGGCCCCCCCAGCGCAGCTCTTCGACAGCTGCGGGTTTCCCGTCTGAGCCGTGCGGTCCTGCTCTCTCATGCACCAGAGGCGTGAGGCGGGCAGCCCTGGAAGAAGGAGTGGGAGGAAGTCACTGGGCCGTGGTTTTAAACCCTCAGGGAGGGCAGGGGGGCTGCAGGGCGGCACCTTCCCAGCACCTTTGAGAAAGACCCAGAAACTCCGAGCGAGCGGTGGGGGTGGCAGGTGTTCCGGGGGAGCCTCAGAGTTTAAAAGCTGTAATTAGCGTGTCTTTTGAAAGCTGCACTTTCTCTCTCTCGTTCTTTGCAGCAGCTCAGCCCCCGGACAAATGCAGGAACGGTTCCCTTGTTCTGTCAGGAACTGCTTTCACGCAGAAAACAGGAGCGAATGTTAAGGGGCCCTTCTGGCCGGGACGGGGTGCTCAGGCGCAGTCAGACCTACTTTTGTTCCCTTGGCCGCCTCGGCTGGCCTTGCTGTCGGTCGGCCCTGGCAGAGCCAGGGGCGAGGGGCGCTGTGCACGTGCCGACCCCGTGAGAACTCGGTGGCCCCTCTCTGACCCCGGGGGCGGCGGCTGCGAACGCTCGGAAGGAGGGCCGCGTGACGATGGGGTGGGTGGGGGAAGTGTCTCATTAGGTTGGGATCACCTGAGGTGTCTGTCTTGAGCGCGGGATCTGTTCTGCTGTGAAGAGAGGTCCCACCGGGGTGGACGCCCGCCTGCACCGTCCTCTCCCGACCCCGGGAGCCTCGGTCGGGCGGGCCCTGGGGCTGCCCTGTAGCCCTGGTCTCAGCGCCCCCTCCTTCCCACTGCGCCTGGCAGCCCTCTGTTCGTGGGCTGCAGCCTCCGCCAGGCCGTCACTGCAGGCGGGAGGGTGGGCAGGGCCGGGGCCTCCGGTTTGTCCAGTTGTGAGCTCTGAGCCTAGCGTGTGGTTGGCGCTCATCGAGTATTTTCCGGAATGGCTGTGGGGGTGGTCGGGTGTTTACCTGAGTGAAAGTGGTAAGAGCTGCGCTCCCGTTTCAGAGGTCGATCCCTCGGGGGTTCGAGGGGTCAAATGCTGTGCCTCAGACCGAGCCACAGGTGCGCGGTGGCGGGGCCGCAGTTTGAACGCAGGTCCCTTTGACTCCAGAGCCACGTGTTGACGGTGTTGTCGCGTGTGTGCGCTGTGCTCGGTGTTCAAACGGGAGGGCGGGCTGCCGGAGGCCTCGTGTTGCCGGGGAGGGTCAGGGACAGCTGCGGGGAGGGGGTGACCGAGTCGTCGGGCTCTGGGGGGTAGTAGGAGCCTGCTGGGAACCCAGCGATCGCAGGAGGGGGAGGGGGGGAGGCTGCTTCAGCAGCAGCAGCAGCAGCAGCAACAGATGCAGCCTCGTGTGGCGGCAGTGAGGGGCTTGGGTTCTGGGGGCCGCCGGGGGACCCCGGTTCGAAGCCTGCCTCCGCCCCTTCCTGCGGCCAGTCCTTTGCGAGGGACGGAATCCCTCCGCAAGGGGAGTGATAGTGGGGCGGTGGCAACAACGGGCGGAGCCAGGCTCTGTGCGCCCTGGGGCCGGCGCAGCTCCCAGGGGCTATTTAAGATCAAACTGCAACACGTTTATTCCGAGAGTGTTCCGCAGACATGGAGGGTGTGCTTTGGGGGGGTTCCGTGTGACTGTGGCGACAATATCTTGGTGACGGGTGGCGGTGATGACTGCGCAGTGCTCTCGGACAGCGCTCACACTGTTGGCTGTCGTCGCGGCCGGAGCAGCGAGTGTTCCGGGGCCGCAGCAGCTGGGGCGGGGGTGGGGGGTGGGGGTGGGGGGAGGGCGGGGCAATGAAGATGCGGCGGGAAGGTTCGGCCGAAGACCCTGGGAGGCGTCGCGTGAGCCGTGGGCGCTGGGCGCTAGCCGAGTGACTCGATCGGACCCCATCCCACCCCATCCGGTGAGGAAGGTTCTGCAGGTCCCGGGGATGACGGCTCCTGCTGGGAGCCCTGGAGAGGGCAGGGGCCCGGGTCTGAGCCCCACCCCCCGCCGCAGCCCCTACCGCGGCAGGGACCCTTGGGCGGCCGCCGTGCTTGGACGCACATCAGAGGACGGGCACCATTAAATAGTCGTGTGTGACCAGCAGCGCCACCATATTGTTATTAGGAAATTGTAAGCGATCTGTTTGCTTTTGTGGATGAAAATTCAGGGCTGCAAACGTGGAGCGAGACAGGCGCCCCCCACCCCACCCCACTCCACGGAGAGGCTCTAGGCCCCTCCCACGCGGCCACTGACGTCCTCAGGGCCGGGCCCGACAGCTTCTTGTTGGTCCTCACTCTTCTGTCTTCGCGCGGCCTCCGACACTACTGACCACCCCCCCATCCCTGTTACTTTTGTCCCTTTTGACTTTTGGAATGGTATTTGCCCGTTTTTTTCTTTTCTGCCCTTAAATCATCACCTGCTGGTCTTCCTCCACCGGCCCTTCCCCCAAGGCTCGGAGCGGTCTCTGACACTTGGCCTGCCTCTCCCTCGCCACGTCCGGGCCGCCCACCTGGGTCCCCCATTCTCACCACCACCCCCCCTCCTCCCCGCACCCGGTGGAGGTTTTCTGAGGCAGCTGGGGTGGCCCCCAACACCTCTGCCCCCGGGCCCGGGGCTCTCCCACCGCCGGCGTTGGCTGTCCCAGGCGCCCGGTGACACCCAGTGATGTTCTTCCCGGCTCTGGGTCACTCAGTGCAGCCCCTCGGCCCACCTGCAGCGAGCGTCCAGTCGGGGCCTTCCCCGCCCGGCCACATGCGCCCCCTCCTGTGCTCTGCCGGACACTCCGCCCTCTGCCCAGCCCTCTCCCCGGCTTCCCCCGGCCCTGCCGGGGTTGGAGTTCCTGGCCCGGCTCGCAGTCGGTTGCCCGTGACGCGTTAGTGACCCGTGGGGCCAGATGCCTTTTCCTCGGGACGTGCCCGGGCCGGCGCTCTCGGTCACTGGCCCCCGACTCTCTCTCTCCTGGTTGCTTTCCTCAGGTCCCACAGAACCGCAGGTGCCTAACAGATGTTGACGGAACTAAAACTTGGTTAACGTAACGGGGCTCATGAACGTGGAGTGAAGGGGGGAGGTGCTCGGGGGGTGTTGTCCTCGGTCGCCTCTGAGGCCCCGAGGAGAGAAGAGCAGCCAAGGTTTCAGCTTTAGCTTTCCTCTCCGGTCATCGGAACGCTTGTTTATGTTCCCCTCCCTGTGTGGCTTTCCGAAAATAAGCCACGCTGTGTTCGAGAAATGTGTGACCCTGGTGCTCAGCCGAACTGCAAACACCCATGCGGCGCTGGCTGGGCCGGGTCGGGGGTCGGCAGTCTGTCCTCGACCGGCTGAGCCCTTCATGGCGGCCGGGAGGCACAGACTGAACTCCCCCGGGGAGGAAAGGAACCTGCTACAAGTCGTGCAGCAGGGTGAGAGGATGTTTCATGCAGCACTGTGTTAACGCAGACCGGCTGGTTCTCGGGTCCTTGAGACACTTAGGGAGCGCTGCAGGAAGACGTGTGCATCTCTTTCAAGCTGCTTTTGTTACTCGGTTCTGTTTCCCGTAGCTTCACCAGAGAGGCGTTGCTATGTTAGCAAAGGCAGAGCCTTTCAGTGTCGTCACCGAACCACATCCGTGGGAACACTAGCCACCCTCCCGTTTTGTGTGTCGTTAGCTCAGAAGCGAATAAAAGACTGGGAGCGCGCCCGCAGAGCCCGAAAGAGCCGGGGGCTGCAGAGGCATCTACAGATGAACCGCTCCCCCCGGCGTCCACTGCCCCGCTTGCTCGTGAAAACGTGGCACACCCGAGTGAGGTGGGAAACAGGTGCCGTAGTGCCGAACATGTGCTCCCCCCTCTAATGACCTGTGCCAGTGAAGCAAAACAGTTTCTAAGCCGCTTTTTGCCTCTGTAGATAGAACTCAAATCAAGGGTAACGAGTGAACTATTTTTTTTCTCCCTTAAGGGACTTGGAAAAATGGGGAAATGCAGAAAAAAAAAAGGCACGGCACAAGCACACGGGGGCTCTGGGTCAGGATGTTGACCTCGTGGGAGACCAGCACTCCGGGTCGCAGGGCCCTCTGGTTCAAGGCCGCTGCACTGCAGATGGCATTTCACTGGTCTGCTGGCAGAGACGGCAGCATTTCATCCATCCTCACAGTGTTCTGTTTTCCATAGCCGTCTTGTAGTTTTGCTGACGAACGACCCATCAGTATTTATATCGTTATCAGATGTTTTCCCACCGCGATTAGGTAACCGGGCTGTTTAAAAAAGAAACACCCCAGAGGAGCTGCGTTTTTGAAGTCCCCGCCCACATCTGCCACAGCAGAGCAGCAGCTCGCTTCCAGAGCGGAGCAGACTGTCCTGATCTCCTCGCCCAGGGCTTTGTTGCAGGTCAGCTTGAACCGCTCTCCGGGAGCAGGGCTTCTCGCTGGAAGCTGGTGTGTTGGCATAACTGTTTCGGGGGCTGCGAGTGCGAGCTAATCTCACTCTTATTTTCCGGGTTGCATGCTGCTGCAGTGTGGCACGCATACCACAAAAATGCCATATATTCGTGATAAACTGGATCTGCTGTTCTCTCACTCGAACCCTGTTGAGCTTCCTGTCCGCCTGAAACTGCATATTCTACTTGAGTAGTTAAAATCCCTGGATTACATAAATAAGTGTAATTTATGGGGGAGGAAAGGCTTCTGCCCTGTGCTCACACGAGCGACACAAATCCTTCAAGCTATTGACTGGAGGCCGTTCCGGTTTTCTGGGTCGGGGGGTGTCGGGAGCCCCTAAACTGAGAGAACACCTGCACACACACGTGCGGACCCTCTGTCCACGGGTGCGTAAGAGGGCACTTGGCCCTGGAAGGAAGCTGATTTAACCGTGGTCACGTGCCCTGGTGTCTGGTCGTCTGCTGTATCTCTGTTTATTGGGGAGCAGTGGAACTTGGGGTGGCTTGCCGAGCCACGCTGTGCTAAACTGACAAGCAGTCTGAGGAACTGTATAATTAGTGGGCACGTGGGTAACTTGTCTAACGAGAACAAAAGCCCCAGTCGGCCAGTCCCACGAAAGCACTGGGCGGTGCAGACGGAGTGTGCCTGTGCGACACTCTGGCAGCTGGGGCGGGGGGACTGCCCGCTCTGCCCGCTCTGCCCGCTCCGGAGAAGCTGGGGAAAACCAGCTGGAAAAGCGCTCCTCCGCCTGTAAGCTCTGCCGGCCGGGCGACAGCTTGGATGTGGGTGGGCCACGAGGCCCTGGACCGGGTTCACGGGCGTCCCCGCAGTGCCCCTCCTTCACGCTCCCTGTGCGGTCGGCCGTGTTTACACGGTAATGCCCTCACCCTGGTCTCTCCCCTGTTCTGCAGCCTTGGCCCAGACCGCATCCTGCGGGGAGGCTCGCCAGCCCCTTTCCGCTCTTTGCAGGAGCTCTTCACACGTCACCTCTTCTCCCGAAGCCGGCAGCCTCGAGCGCCACTGCCCCCAAACTGTCCCCGACGGCTCCTTGCCTGGTCGTTCTCGGCCTGCGCACGGTGTCGCTCTCCCCTGGGCCCGTCGTCGTCTCACGTGGACACTGTGGCTGTCCGTTCGACGTCTGTCCGAGACGGTGACAGTGGCGTTTTGTCCGGGGCGGGCCCCGGGACCACGCACCTTCCGACTCACGGGGCTGACCGACCGACTGAGGCAGTGGCTGATGGCAGCATGCAAGGTTCTGGGGTTCTGAGGCCGAGCAAGGCGGTTCGGGTCCTTCTGTAAATTCCTTGCCACGCGGACAGACGTCTTTGTACAGACCCCTGCGCCATCAACAAAACAGACCGGTCTCAGGAAAGATAAGACCGAGGCATAAAACGCTGCCGACCAACGTGAAAACTAAATGTTGGGGGAGGAGCACAGGGCCCGGGGGAGCGAGTCCCGCTCCCGGGAACCCGACCAGAAGGATCGTGCGAGCCGTTCTGTCGCCGGCAGACGGGTCTGTGTTTCTCCCCCTTCCAGCTGCGGTCTCTGCCCAGAAATAGCTGCCAGGCGGACTGGCTCTGCCTCTGGTCCTCTGGTTTCTGTCCCCTCTCAGCGCAGCCCGACGACCTGTCCCTGCACATTCCTTTCGCGTGTCACTATCTCAGGTGATAAGGGCGGCGGCCATGCACTGTTCCGTCCTCGGAAGCCCGCCCGCCGGTTTGTAGGGCTGCCAGACTCCGCAGCACACACGCGTGCTTTGGGGTCTGAAGGTCAGATTGCAAAGCAAAGGACTTGTCAGCCGTTTGTGAAATGCGCCCGTTCTGGAGGAATGTATTTAAATGATTGCTAATTCCACTTACTGCATTAGAAGCATTAACATCCTGATGATCTGTATTCAGTTACACTCACAAGTGTAATAGATTCTTCAAGTACAGTGTGATCGTCTTCAGGTATTTACGGGTGCATTTAATACTTCTGAGTAAAGTTCCATAGTGGTGCACGAAAGCGTGGAAACACGTTCGGTGTTACTTACCAGCGTTCAAATATTGCTTAGTCTTTCATCGCGTTAATACATTAGTAATCCCCTTATAAGAGAAACTTCTTGCAATGACTTTTGTCATTGAGTGTCTCATTCTTAGCCAGTGCTTTGTTTCCCTTATTTTTTTTTCTTAGTTTGCTTTATCTATCTTTTATCGCATCGACCCGACTGCCCGGTGTGGAGGAAGGAGGAAGCTGTGGGATGTGCCAGGCGTCGGGTGGGGATGGGACGTAACCTCACTTTGTGTCTCTCCCTGCACAGTCCCTTCAGTCCGAATACGTTCATTACTAAGACCTCACCCCTCCCGGGAGAGCCGCTCTCAGACGCGCCGCCGGACGAGCCCTGCGGAGAGAGCGCCCCCTGCGGGCCGGAGGACTGGCCCCGCCTGCGCCCCCAGACCCCCGGCCAGCACCCAAGTCCTGCGAGAGACTTGAGACCCGGCCGCCCCCTGGCCCCCGACTACTGTCCGTGCACTGAGACTCTCTGTTCGTCCACACTTTTTAAGACAGTTTTCCCGTTGACTTTGGTATTTTGAAAGGTTATTTTTAATGTATTGCGGTAATACACCTGTTCTTACATTTACGTGTACAGTGTTACATTGTGTATGTATGGTGAACTTCAAAAGCCTATTTTGATAAATTTATAAATATATAAAATTACGTCAGAGCTAGACTATATTTTGATTTAGATTTTCTTGCTGTTTGCTACCAAAAATTTGTATTTTGGGTTTGGTTAGGACGGTTTTGTCTACAACGAATCCATACGTCCTCTCTGGTAAGACAAAGCAGGGGAGAGAGTTCCAGAGAGTGGCTTTGACCTTCCCGCTGCGGGCGGAGGCGGCAGGGCGGGTCGGTCCTTCGGGAAGTCCGTCCGTCCGTCTGTCCGACACGCGGAGGAGCTTCTCCGGGCTTACCTCGAGCAACAGTCGGGCCGCTGGATCCGGCTTCCGGAGGCCGTTGTTGCCCCTTTGCTTCTGTTGCTGGGCCACGCGGCTCTGCGTCTGGGGGCCCTCTGCACCGTTCAGCATCCCGCGGAGGATGAGGATCCCCCCTGGGCGTTCCTCCCACAAGTGTCCTCCACGAAGTGACTCGACATTCCAGACGCTTTTGTTTCCTCCCTGCCCTCTAGAGAGGGTCGTCGGCCCCGGAGAGGTTTCTGCGTGTGGTACGAGCCTGTGGTGGCCAGCGATCCCACGTGGCCAGGCCCCGGTTCCAACCCCACGAGGGGGGAAACACGGGAGAGGATGCTGCTGAGTGGCTCTGTGTGTTCCAGGAGCTGTGTGCCCGGGAGGTCGGAGACCTCGGCACGGAGCTGGCCTGTCAGAAGCCCAGCGTGAACAGGAAGGGACGCCCTCGTGGCACTCTCACGTGAGCGTGGCCTCACACTCAGGCCTCCGGCAGCCTGGAGGCCTCCTTTCTGTGGGGAGCTGGGGAACCCCAGACCCTGGCTCTCCGTGTCGCTTAATGGATCCCCGTGAAGCCTTCACTCTCACCCACCGGGTTATTTATAGCGTATTTATTAGGAGAGGGCACCTCGAGACCATTGCACACGCTGCTGGATGTTGTACATTCTTAAACAGGCCTTTGAGTGAATGTTTGGCTCAGGTCGGCTGACTGAACCTTCAGGCACGGCAGTACCAAATAATTGCACTAAAGTTCATGAAAAAATGTACGTGTTAGGGATCAAAGATTGTGGGATTACATTGTATACCTTTTTAGAAGCTGAAATAGTGAAATATTTTATTATGAGTTATTGTAAAAAAAAGTTGAATTCTATAGGCCGACGATAGTATTTTTTTAAAAAATGATCATTGAAAAGTAACTCAGACGACAGTTGAGAAAGGGAACCTCGGAGACAGTGTAGTCTGTGAACACTAACTTGTGTGCAGCTCTTGAGACGACTGTCAAGTTGACTACTGTAAATCTGGCATTCTGGTGTGCGTGTGTCAGTCATATGTATCTACACGTGTATGTCTTAACATTTTATACACATGTGCATACATAGACTGACCAAGAAGTGTATGTATATAATACAGAAAGTATATAGCAAAGTAATTCTACTGCAATAATAAAAATTGTTTGACATGTATTTTGTTAATGAATAGTTTAACTTTCCAAAAGATATTTTGTTCTATTTTAAAGTGTAGAAGAATACACTGCTAATAAATAATAAAAGTTTTATGCAATTCACATTTCCCTGGCTTTGCTAATTTGGGCTTTGAAGTACTAAGGTACTGAAGTCTCTCTGTAATTTTATATTTGACCCACTCTGGTCAGTGCCTTCCACTGAGGTCCTCAGGGTCGCCGTTCCCGATTTCGGCTCCTCTTTCGTTGGTGTTCCAGGGAGCGGCCATTTCCTGAAATCCACGACAGTGAGCCCCAAGAAATCGTGTGCTTCGAATTTCAGCTGACGTCCGTTTCTCGCTCTTTTTCTCCCTCCGTCATTTTCCTTTCTGTTAATAAAAGCACTGCTCACGGTCAGCATCTGGGGTTCTGCCTGGTCCTTTACTCTGTGACACACGGGACAGAAACCCGCTGGGGAGGAAGGAGCACTGGCGGTACTTTGTATAGGGAACCGGATCTCTGTGGGTCGTGATGGCTCGGAGGCTCCTCCTTTCTCTTTCGTCCCAAACTTTCTCGGAGCACGTGAGAAAGGTCGTAGGCGGCAGGACAGCTCCCACCCGCCTGAGTCGGGCATCTGCCAATCAGCTGTCCTCGCCCACCTCACGGGACAGTTGGGCCCTGAGGTTGTCATCGGACCACACCTTCAGGAGATTTCTTGTGAATTCATGAGCCTGTCTAAAAGGGCAGAAAGTCTGTTTCAGCAGATTCAGTTCTTACCAAAAAAAGGTAAAGAAATCAATTAACTAGTACTCATGAATTTCTCACCTACTGGCCATTGAGTTTCCCAGGTTTTCTCACCCACAGATGTCAGAACACTCGGAGAGGTGAAGCAGTAGGTGCATTCAGCTGTGGTTCAGGCAGCGGCAGGAACATGAATTCCCCGACACCGAGCTCTACACATGCATTTTCAAAACTGATCTTCTCGTATGCTTTCCCCGGCGACGTGCCCAGTCGTGTGTTCAGGTTCCTCTGCAGACCCGTTGTTGGTCCACGAGCGGAGCGGGACTGCGGTGTTTTGGGTCCTGTGAGGTCGTGTCCCCCACCCCCCCGCCCCCCCGCAGGTGCCCTCGTGGGTGGAGCTCATGGTGCTGCAGTACCCTGCAGGCTTCCTGGCCTCGCTCAGCAGAGCGAGAATCCGGTCACTGCGTGTCGTCTCTGAAGACGAATTAGGGAGACTTCCCACGACAGCAAGATGTCATTTGCACCGCGAGATGGAAGTCCTTTATTTACAGGTTGTAAGGAAAGTGGAAAAATCATTGTATGAAGTTATTCTGAGCCGAATTGAAATGATAATGTATTCCCACCCAGTTGCTTCTCTGCAGATCGAATTATGATCATCATACTGAGGAGAAAAATAGCTTGGCTAGAGCAGTTTAAACTTTTTTTTTGGTGAGTGCAAGTAGGAACTTACATGGAAACCTACTTTTAATGCAGATCACGTGATTTGGAGCTGGTAGCAAACGTAAGGGCACTGACCCTTTCACTCACCACGTCTTGCTTTAACCTGCCCACCCCCAAAGTAGAGATGAGTTGCACCCCCACCTGGCTGCTTCTCTGGTCTGATGCAGTTGGCCAGAGGCCTCTTAAAAAGCCATCTGCAAACGGGACAAGGGGGTGGCCACAGAAGGGAGACCAGCTGCAACGTTTTGCTTACGTTCAGCTTTAGATCGAGGGAAAGTGTCCAGCAGATGTATATATATTTTTCCCTTTTAGTTTATTTTTCAATTTTATGTTTTGGTTGCAGTTTGCCTTCAACACTTTTTAAAATTAGTTTCAGGTGCACAGCACAGCAGACACACTCGTATAGGCGACCAGGTGATCCCTCCCTCAATCCGAGTTCCCACCTGGCCCCGTGCGTTGCCAAGGCGATGATATTACTGATTATGCTCGTCACGCTGTACTTGCACATCCCTGTGACTCTTTGGTGCCAATTTGCACTTCTTCATCTCCCTTCACCCCCACCTCCTCCGCCTCCTCTTTTTTTTAACAAATGTATCTTTATTTATGTGATGGCTCTCTTTCCAAAGGATTTACGATGGCTTCAAAGAATGCACCAAAAGAGAGCTTTGCGCACAAATTTTGAGGCAACTGATGCTGGGACTTCAAGCCGAGGTGAAAGGCCTCTAATAAGGCCCTACGTGGCTGTGAGCTCCCGGCCGTGAGCTCCGGGCTCCGTGCGTGCCGGAGAGTAGGCTGTGCGTGCCTGGAACTTGGAGCCCTCCGCCTAACTTGCTAAGACGGCGCACCTCACGGGTTCTTACAACAGAATCACAGCAACACTGACAGTGATAATAACGAACAAGAAGCCGGGCGCCCTCCCAGCGGAGACTGCTCGCAGTGAAGGGGGTGCAAGGCAGAGTGAGTCCCACCCGGGAAGGAAGGGGGTGGGGGGAGGGGTTTGCAGGGAGCCGGGCTCGGGCTGCCCAGCGTCCTCTCCCGAGGGACCATGGAGGGGTCCCTCCTTCAGCCACGGGTGGTGACGTGCCGTCTACCAGTGAAGCTCATCAGACACGAGGCACCCAAACTTGTTTTCTTTTTTTAAAGTTGGTCCTAGCAGCGCCCTCTCCCCAGCACACACCGCAACCCCAGACTCCAGGAGGGGGAGCAGGTGTTGTGCCTAAGCCTTCACGTGTGCTCGGACACGGGCGTGGCGCTGCTGAGCCGAGTTGTCATCAGGGGCAGCCTGGTACCAGCTTGGGAGCGGTTACGGGCCAAGCTCCTAGGCGTGACCCGCGGGCAACCTCGAGTGCAGGCCTTTCTGAGGACGCCCGTCTCTGTGGCACACTCTGCATCGCAGCAGCTGATTCCGCGGGGACGGAAGCCCACTCACATCAACGCGCGGCTTTACCTTGCGAAGTGGGCCCCGGTCCCTGCCATCAGGAGACTTCTGCGGGAGGGGAGGAGTCCTGAGCGGGAGGCGGGAGCTCTGGGGGGTTGCCAGGCTGCGGGTGCACCAGGGCTCCGGCTGCCGTTTTGTTTTCCACGGGCAAACTCGGAAGTGGTGCAGCTTCCCGTCCCAAACACGCCGCCGCTCATCACAGGAGACACGTGCCACCACCGGGGCCTCCATCCGGCCGGGCGCTTTCAGGGCGACTAGAAGAGGAAAAGACCCCTGAGTCGTCTTTGCTTTAACAGACAACCTTGTCCTAACATTTTGTTGGTATAGGTTCCTACAGTTTGTAGAAATTGCAATTTCAAAAATATACAAGGAAAGAAGCATGGAGAAATTAAAGCTAAAATGGAATGGCTGCAATAAAAATAAAGGCATTGTGGAAGCTTTGAAAAGGATACTGTTAAACTATATAATTTAAAATAATAAAACATATATACTGTAAATTGATGAACTGCTTAAAATAAAGTAGAAGGCACATCAAAAGAATAAAATAAAGCCATGGCCAGATAGCTCAGTTGGTTAGAACATTGTCCTGATACCCAAGGTCCACGGGTTCAATCCCCGGTCACAGCCCATACAAGAATCAACTAGTGAATGCATAAATAAGTGGGACAACAAATCGATGTCTCTCTCTCCCTCCCTCTTTCTAAAATCAATTTATAAAAAGAATAAAATACAATGAAATAATACCATTTATGAATGGAAGCTTTCAAACGATGAGTTAGAATAATCTAAAATAAATTGAGAGCAAATAAAACTAAAAAAATCAAGAAGTTTCAAACACTCAAGAAAGCAACAGGGCTGCCTGTGCAGTGAGGGTCCCAGAGGTCACGGCCCCTTCAGCTGGACGCCGAGGTCGCGCTGCCCCGGACGGGCTCCCAGACAGAATGCTCACAGGAACAGACTGGTGAGCCAGACATTTCAGCAGCTCGAGTTACCTCCGATTTGCAGCCTGGTGTCTGCAGACCTCGGGGGAATGTTAGGTATACTTTTTCCTTTTGAGTGATTACTATAAGCCAGACAATGTGCCCAGTACCGTGCATCCACGAGGAAAACCTATTCGCTACCTCACTACCTGGCCCTGCAGAGTTTTAGGGGGAAGGAGCAGATGTGGGGAGAAGTGCAGTGGTTTGCCCAAGGTCGTACAGCTAGCAAGTGGGACGGCCTGGGTTTAACCACCCGGACGGTCAAGGCCACAGCCCATTCCCTAGTCTCTCTGCTGTATGTCACAGAGCCTAGCAGCGTCCGTCACATGCGGCCTCGTGGCTGTGAGGGACACCCAGCAGGACAAAGTGCCGGGAGCACCTCAAGCAGGACACACTCAGCATCTTATTTAAAAAGTTTTTGTTTTTTTTTTCCTATTACCAATGAGTCCCCTGACACCCGCTTCCCCCCATAATCATCACCCAAGGACATGTTTATTGATTTTTTTTTTAGAGAGAGAGGAAGGGGCAGAGAGAAAAACATCGCTGCGAGGGAGAAACATCGACCAGTGGCCTCTTCTGTTTACACCCGGACCAGGGATCTCACCCGCAACCTGGGCCTGTTCCCTGCCTGGGGATCGAACCCGCAACCTTTTGTTGTGTGGAACGACACTCCGACCGACCGAGCCACCTGCCCAGGGTGGTGCTCAGCATTTTAAAGCTTGGGGTTGAAGCGCACGTTGGTGGGCCTAGAAAAAAATGTGGTTAAAACATTTTATTGCTTTGAAAATAGAGCATGTTTCAAGGCCGGGAATCGTAGAGACACGTTTATACATTAATAATCTCCTGCTCTTCTCAGCTAGCATGTAACATCTTTAAAAAGCCAAGAATGAAGCCCTGGCTGGCGTAGCTCAGTGGATTGAGCACGGGCTGTGAACCCAAGTGTCACAGGTTCGATTCCCAGCCAGGGTACATGCCTGGGTTGCAGGCCATGACCCCCAGCAACCGCACACTGATGTTTCTCTCTCTTTCTCCCTCCCTTCCCTCTCTAAAAATAAATAAAATCTTTAAAATTTTTTTAAAAAGCCAAGAATGCACACATTGAGACCTGATGGGGAAAAAATTCTTGAAATTAAAAAAAGTGGCTATAATGCGATGTTGAAAGGACACGTTGGCCAGAGGGCGGAGCGTTCAGGTTTGAAGTTTCCGCAGCAACCCGCCTGCAGCCCTGCCCCCGGTAAGGGCTCCTCCCCCTGCGCTCACTGGACAGTGCGCCACATCTCAGGAGCAGGCCATTTAAGGCAGTTGCAACGTCCCTTTCGGCCTCACCCTGATAGTGGACTCTGAGCCATTCTTCCCCACATGTCAGCGTCCTCCGGGTTGTACTGGGCCCCGATTCTGGGCAGGAAGAGACCCGACGTAGCGTTAGCATCCGATCTCATCACACGTTTCCCCTAAAGCACATCCTGTTACGAGTCCGTATTCCGTTTTTCTTTTTAAAGGAATATACTTCTTACAGAAATCAGAGCAGTCTGGG